AAAGATCTGACAGAACGAGCACCTGGTCTCTTGTGCGGGCGCTCGTTTGCCGTTTATTCCTCGCCCTCTGCCTCGTCGTATTTTTTAAAAACCCTCCCACACCGTTATCATACTAGCTGAAGATCTGTTAATTGACTCATCTCCTTCCCAGCATTCTTGCACCCATGCAGCCCTAAATCTAAAGCTCCACAGGCCATTCGAAAAGAAGTATTTCACGCACACCCCTCCCCTTTCCCGAAGGAATAGGCCAAGCAGAAAATAGAGGAGGGTGCGCTGAGGGAGAAAAAAAAGGAAAAGAACAAAAACAAAGCGAAAAACAAAGCTAAGAGCTTACCAAGAGGCAAAGGACATTAGTAAGATGGAGAAGAGAGCGGTGATTTGCCCCCCCGGCGCTGATGGTGCTCGTTCGTTCGACGGGCCGCGCGAGAATCCTCGTGGCACTCGTCTCCATATTTTTCATTTTTGGTATTCCACATTTATTAGTTCTCTTTCTTTGGAATGGTAGAAGTAGTACAAAGGTACCAGTAATTCCGCCGGCTGCATGGGATGGGATATGATTCGCTTTGGGACTGCTCCGTAATTAACCACCATTTACTCCGTATACGCATTGACTTCGCCCTAAAAAGATGAGCCGCAAATTGTGGATAGTCGGCGAATTGGAGCTGGAGATCCGGAGTTGAGGCTTGCCTGGTCCCGGACTCCGTGCTTTATGTTGAACCCCGAGACACGGACGAGGCCGGACGTGGTTCTGAGCTTTGAAGTGGTTCTGCTACGGCTAGTAGAAGCAATAGTAGCGGTGATGGCTGTTTGAGCAGCATGTAAAGCATATCCACTATCGGCGCCCTTCGATGATGTTGTGTTCCTTCTCCCGCGTGTACATTTTGACGGACCTTTGACGATGAAGGTGAGAATGAAGAAAATCCTATTATATAAGCCGGATCTACTTTGACGATTCAAGCATAAAGCGTTGCTATTAAATTGTCCTACCTGTTTTGTTGTAAACGTAATCAAAGAATGGCACACACGGCAGAAAGGGTAAAGCCTGGCTCTGCCCGCAAGTACAGTAATCATAAATATCTACATGTACATGTACCCGTCAAACTGCTGGCTCTGCCACACCTCCCAGCAGAATATATACTCCTGTGCTGCTATACATACTCCAGACGCATGGCGGAAACAGGGATAAAGGAATAGCCCTCCAAGTGTCATGACTGCTCTGTAACGTTAGTTTCCTGCGGCTAAAGCAAAGACCCCCCCTCTTCCCCCTTTGCATCAATGACACAAGAAGGAGAGAAAAAAAAAACACCCCGATTGTCATACAATCTAAAGGACAGCAGTTCATGGTGGGCTACGGGTCGCTTCGCCGTCCCGGCGGTGCCTGGAGCTGCGCTATGGGATGGGCCCGCGGAGCAGGTTCCCGAATCTGTCTAAAGCCGTCGATTTTTATACTAGCAGTATATTGGAAGGGGGTGCGGTTGAACCGCATCGCTGGGAACGGCAAATCGACATCAAGGAAACAAGAAGAAACTGTCTGTGCACCGTATCCGTCGGGTTCGAGACGCCCCAATTCTAGGCATGTGCCATGATTCTATGGCGCATGCGTATTCTTATTACTGGTGTTACCTACTACTGTACTACTAGTAGGTAGTGTGGATGGATATACAGACTCGATATGGAGCACAAGAACAGCGACGATGTCGATCTAGAACGGCTGCCCAATCAGACATACAGTTTTCTGTTGCAGCCGGTAGTCTTGTCTTATCTCCCCGCGAGCAGCCTTGTTGACGCTGCGAGTCGACGCTGCATGTCCTTGTCAATGTGTGACGTTGGACGTTGGGATGCGTCCATCCCACTAAGCTCCGCCAACTGCCAGAGTCGCAGTGCTAGTACAAGTACCTAATAGCATCTGCATCTCTCATGGCTCTCTTTTTTTTCTTCTTCTTCTTCTTTTGGGCAGCGTCGTATTTGCCATTGCTGTTTTGTGGCGTGACTTTTCATAATGAAATCTTCCTCAGGCTGTTTCGACCGAGGTGTCAAATATCAGTTTACTACCTATCTCTTTCGCTCTACACTACCTACCCCTCGTTTCCATCCGGGCTGGGATTACAAGACCGGGGAGAAATGTATCAACTTCATGTAATGCCAGAGCTAAAGCCGCGACATACAGAGTACAGGTTTACCCATCACATTCATTGGATACAACTATTGTTACTCCTAATCTCGCGCTTCGGTATAGCAAGCATCGCAGATGCTGGCATGAATTAAATCGACTGCAACATAAACAGCGTTGCACATCCAGTAATCCCATAATCCTGCAACTTTCGGTCAGTAGTAGGTAGTAATCCGGCCAGATCCTTTGAGCATGAATACGGCCCGGACAAGCTCAGCTCGGTCCTCATTGCAAACAGCACGCCACCCCCTGGCTTTTGCAACTTGCTCCCATACAAACCTTTTTTCATTCTAATCCTGCAATTCTCCGCTGCCAAGCCCCAGGCTTTCTCCAAACGGCTTCTTTCCCATCCCATGCTACACCTGACACATATTACGGAGCAAGACCCTTCGAGCATAAAAGGCTAGAAGTAAAAGAAGACGAACGAAAAAGAGAAATTCTCGCGCCCAACGTCAAGTTACGCCCTGGCGTTGCTTCTGCCCCGTCTTTTTCTTTTTCTTTCCCCTTGTTCTTCGGCACGCTTTCCCCGTTCCCTTCTCACGTCCCCTGCCTTCAAAGCCTCAGGTCTGCCCCCCTCCCCCAGGCAAAACGCCGGCCGGCGTCTTATTAACCTCTCAGCTCCTGTCGTGTCGTGACCGGGTATAGCAGCAGCAAAAGTGGCGTGTTTGCCAGCGGCTGGCTGGTTGATTTGCCATGCAGGGGCGCAGCCATTTCATAGTACTGTACGAAGCAGATACTAGGTATGTAGTAGGTAATGCATAGGCCTACCTAATACCTACCTCATATCTGCAGAGAGGATGTGCTATATTATTGCAAGTTGTTAGGCACGGGTAAAAGGGACTAGCATGCCGCAACAAGGAGACTTTTGCCCCAGCGCTCTCCGCTAAAAACCCATGCCCGGGCGATCACCTACCAAGCTATTGGGAGAAATCAAGTGGTCACAATTGGGGAGAAGGGGGCCCTTACCATGGAGCCCTGAGGCCGGACCCGAATGGACAGGGACACGCGTTCTTCCAGGACATGGCCTCTTTCAAGGATTGGCTATTATAGACCCGCCGCCAAGGTGGGAGAGACACAGCCCTAGCTTATGTTCTCCATGATCATCATGACCCCTCCCCCCTTGCTCTCTGTGTATACCCCCCCTTGCCGTCTTTTTTCTTTTTGCTTCCCTTTGAACGTTTGTATAATGTACACACTCATCCTGACCTGTTCTGTCAAGGTATGGATTGCATTTCGTCAATGAGTTGCAAGCAGAACTCCGCTCAAAATTATGGGACTCCACCTGGTCCTTGAAGGAGATCACTGTTGCCAAGTTGCTTTCATAATACGTAGTCTTACGTTCGACTAATAATGATGTACGGCCAGACCGAGACAATCAGATGCCGCTCGCAATTGCCGACATGGCTGTTTTCGTAAGGATTGGAAAAAAGGAAAGAAAAGCAACGAAAAGGAATCTCTCTGCTAGCCATTCATCATACGCAAAGATGCACTGGCCACTCCAGAGCGCCTTCTACATATAGCACTACAATTATGTACTACAAAGTCCAGCAAAACTCCGCATGGCAGGTCTCGTGGGCAAAGGGGGGTCTTCGCTGAAAGTTTGGCCTAGCTCTCTGCTGAACAGAGAGTAAAGCTAGTTGCAATTGGCATTCGTGTGCCCTTGACAGATCTAGCTAGTAGCTGAGACGAGTCTAAGGAAGCATCCGTCTGCTGCTAAGTGGGGAAGTACATGGATCACTTACAAGGCATTGTAGGTCACCCAGGGCTGTAGAAAACGGTCGGCAAAGGCTGCCTAAAAGGGTATAAAACTTGCTTTATTATGCTGATGAACGGACGGCCCAAAAAGCCGGCTGGTCTTTTTTTCCTTTTTTGTTCTTTTCTTTTCTTTTTTTCAAAGAAGGGCAGCATTCACAGACTTTGACACTAGGGATATTGATTGACATTTAACCTCGTGCCCTATATATGTATGCTGACTCATGGAGACTATCATACAAGATACTCAAAGCTTATAGTATGCTCCATATCTCGCTCGTACTTTGTAAATACCGTGAAATGCTCAATGCCGCTCGATATTCCCACTAGTAGTGCTAGCAGTAGCAACACGCATATGCCACATCCATGTCAAGGCCCATGACTCAGGATCGGGCAATACAGCATGCACAAGAACGGACCGATCGTGAGTTGAGGCGGGACATCGCTGACTTGCGGTGAATGCAATACTATTATGCGCTGCAAACTAGTATACCGCCAACTCAGCTCTCAAACTCATAGGGGAGGGTGATGGGGAGGAGGGGTTGGAATCCTTTGCAGCCCACGATGATGAGATCCGTGTGTGAGTGTGTGTGTGTGTGTGTGTGTGCTAGGATATTCCCCGATACCCCTCTACAGTTGTTATTAGTAGTAGTATACCCTTTTTTCCCTTTTAATAGTGCGTGTAGAAGCAAAAAAGCACAGACGAATGGGCAGGCAGGGCATTGTTTTCTGTATGGCACCATCACATGAAGTCTTCTGCGGCTAGATACCCGCCATGTGACGATGAAACCCTGAAAACAAAGCAACGCTTGTTGACATGAGTGCATGACTCCCACTGCATGGCTTGGCGGCCGGGTATCCGACGGGGGCCTGGGCCTGTTCCTTTTCACTGCCAGCCGCAGCGGCAGAGAGATTCTTATCATTTGCGCGCAGCCTGACGACGCTTTGGTCGTTTAGCTGCGCGTATTCATTTAGGACTGTCTCAAGCACTTGATTCGTGAAGCCGCAGCCGCCAAAGTAGCATTCCGTTACAACCCTGCGTCGGTGTTTTCAAGGTGGTAGCACTCGGTACTTGTCCGCTGGGATCATGCGGGTTCCATGCTATTGGCTTTGAGCTTATGGGTGTATTGGACTGGACGACTGCTCGGCCGACATGTGCGTGCTGTGGCTGCTTGCTGCAATCCAATCCTTCTGCACTATGCCACTTACAACAAGCCTTGTTCCCCGGCGCGAGGAGTTGGTAGAAAAGGGTGAAAGGGTGCCCAGCGATATCTGCGCGTGCCTCATCTCCCAATATTGCAAAAGGGTGTCAAGATGCTGTTCATGAGAAGCGCTTTTTGCGGGATCCACTGCCCTTATTCAGATACATACTGCTAGATGATCATAACCGTGACCTAAGATTGGAGCTTATTTTTCTTATCCAATGGTATATCTCACGCAAACTATTGCTAGCACTACTACAAGTTTGTGTCAAAGGCAAAAAGCAGCCAATCCCTGCCGTCAGATCGGAGCTGAGATAGGATGTAGAGCTGCTGCAACATAGTGGGTTTAATGACGTCCGAACGGAATCAGCGCCGTCCCATGGCCTGGCCAATACACTCCTCTGGATATGGAACGTGCCAAGCAATCACAGGGTGACGGTGCTCGTCATATGTGATAAGAAGATTTCATGGTCCATGTACGGAGTACCTGTGTATACATCTGTGGTTGACAACTCGCATCTGGCAATAACCACGCCGTATTATATAACAAAAAGCACATCTAGGTATAATACAACGTTGCAGCAACTAATAATATCCCATCTATATCATAACTGACACAAAACTTATCAATCATGCAGCTGCTCCTTCAATCTCGGAAGCAGATCGTCGCTCCTCTCTCCGGAAATAAATCTTCTGCGTTCAATTCTAGGCTTTAGCCCCGACTGCAAACATGGGGACAGCATCTAACACCACTCCCCACTCCCAGTCAATCCCATCATGCATAAATACCACCATATCCAACCGGGGGGGATATACTACTGTACAACCTCGGGAACACCACGAAGAAGACAATCGTAATGGTAAAGCAGAGGAACATGCTCCCCAATAGATGTGCCGCCCAGGCCTTGACTCCCTTGTGCATGTCGAAAAAAGAGCGGAGGAAGTCGATCAGCTCTCAGGAGAAGAGCAGCAAGATCCATGTACATATTAGGGCCGTATAAGCCGTTACGCGGGCACGAAAGACGTGGCCGACAGACGAATAGGCGTTGTTGCAGTTGCTACCTAGGTTTCCATCGCCAAAGCCGAAGGTGACGGTGGTGAAAGAACCGAGGACGCAGCTGGCGTTGAGAATACCGTCGACGGCTACGTCGAACATGAATTCGGGAGTAAAGATGCCGAATCGAAGCTGTGGGAATGTTTTAGATACATTAATACCACTCAGCTTATATGAGAATGAAACTTATATCCTGTGGAGGGCGGTTAACAATGTCTGGAACAGCAGTTTCGAAACCGAGACCAGTTTCAGTGAAAGCACCCGTGCCGAGAAGCACCCATATGATCTCAACGGGGATCAATAAGAATACCCGAAAGATTTTACGCTGTCTTTGAACGCTAACCTGTTAAGAAGAGGTATGACGAAGCTGACTTACCCGGTAAAGTAAAGGCAGGACACAGCCGTCAGTTGCAATGGCACGAGTTGTATGCGGATGATCTCCTGTAAGAATATGTACGACGATGCCTGCGCCTTGGCGTATAAGGACGTTGTCATTGGATTCGGGGCGAGGAAGGCCATAGATTCCAACGAGGCCGTCGAAGACTAGATCACGATCGAAGCGTTAACAACTAGGGGGGTTTCCATCTGTAAAGTCTGATACAGAGACAAATCGCTGACTTAGCTTGTGAGATAGCGCAAGGATACAAAGCCCTTCATTTGCTATAGCTTCCATGTTATTCAAGATGCTGATTTCCATGGAAATGTCTAGAGGCTTGATATCATCTGCTGAAGCAAAGCAATCGCACATATCCATCACACGCTCCAACACTCCCTGTTACGAAGATGTCGGCTATGAAGGATATATAATCCTCTGATGCTAGATATGCACCTTCGTAAACATGTGCGTAACTGTGTAGCTATATCCATGTAAAGGCACGACATTTTTTTCCACGTCAGAGTCGAAGGGAAACTCTCCAATGTGGCTCCATTTCGCTCTCTGTCCCTGTGATAACTGAATCCTATTCTAATTAAACCGAGGTATAAATGCTGCAATAGCAATCTCGGCTGGGGAACTACGCGCTGTCCACCTGTCATGCTGCGCCGAGTCATCTTTCTTCTATTCGACAGTCGCCAAGTTGGCCAGCGACGCAATGTTCAAGTAATCTTGCAGGAATTGTGTTCCCAGAAACTTCATCGTGTGGAAAAATATGCCTTTAAATGGCAATTTCTTTGCTATACCTATATACTTGGGTGGTGGACAGGACTGAATAATATCTGACCAACTGTTGGATTGTAGACTTCGCGTTGTCGTTTCGGCTGAGTAAGTGTCATATTTAGGAAGCCACGCTTTGCGGACAGTTATTCAACTTTGATTAATTGTCAAGGTCATATCAAATCAAATGCCTACATAAAATTAATTTACCTGCAACAAGATGGATTGAAGTAGAAGAGAGAAGTTCAACAGATGAGCAAGAAAAGAAAGACACTGAATACTCACTCGTTACTCCCCTCAGAGACTCCAAGCCAGATAAATTATGTCTTTCTGACATCTTTTTTGTTCCAGCAGTCATATTAACTGCTAAGAATAGAAGCAGCGAAACAGGAATTCTGCCGACAGCGGTTGTGGCAGCATATAAGGTGACGTCTTTATGTGCGTCAAAATTGTCGGCCGCCAGCACGGTGATAGCACAGACAATTGCAAAGGCGAGAAGCCACAGCAACATTTTTTATCTGCTTCCAGATTCACTGCTTGAATAAGCCCGATTTCCGCGGGTATAGAGGTACCAGTTCTCGAGTCAATTATATCTCCAGGGACCACATCAAACGTCTGAATGTGAATAGTTTTGCAGCGAGTGGTATTGGCCTAGTTAGATGTGTCTTTTTAGAGTCATTGCATTAAATATCTGTTCCAGAAATATACTCAGTGGCTGAACGCCCTTTTGCCTCTTCGACTCGTGAGGCCCAAGCTCGTTTCGTCGCTTAGCAGCTTCATCTGCACTGAGATAATTAGCCGAGTCAGCCTGCAGCTTTCAAGACTTCTTTAGCACTCAAACCATGTACTGGCTGAGATATCGGCCTGTCGGATTGCTCAGAGACATGGCGTCTCACAGGGACGGTAGATGGAAATTTCTTCATGATAACGTAGTACATATCGGTGAGAACAAGATTGGGGTAAGATATTTGTTAAGCTGTATTGAGGAGAACAAATATTAGCTGTTAAATATTATATTCTCATAAGTTTCGCTTTTTCTCATCTCTGCTCTACCGCGGCGCCGTGTAACAGTCTGCTAAATGTAAGGACTAAGCGATGGTATCAGTGATTCACTTACCACCTTTCAATCGAGAACAGCCCAAAAATTAGGCGACAGCATTCATTGGTCTAAAACTCCTTTATTTTGCCTCTTCAAGAGTAATTCTTAATCACTGACAAGTTACAGAGATCTCTAACTATAAGTACCTCGTTCTGCTGGTTGGGCATTTTTATCAGTACCAACAAGACACATCAGTTGATGATGATTCCCTTCACCATCGCTTTCGACATCCATGTATGTTCTCCTTGATGGTACCTTTTCCTTTCAAAAGTCTAATCATCTTGGTACTGGCTGTGGCTCGTTTAAATTACCTTGCCAAGCATATCCTACTATTATCAATAAGGTCTCTATTTGCAATTTTGACTGGATTTTATAACATGTTTCGGAACGTCGTTGAGGCTTCCTCTTATAAAGCACCTATACTTCCGCACCAGATGAACTCATGATAAATGCAGACAGCACAGATATTCGCTATTAAAAAGGCCGAAAATGCGTATCTCTACTAAATAGCTGCGTTTTCGCACCATCTGAGAATTGAGTCACAACCGTGCTTCCTTCGAACACCTTTACTTCATGATGGGACTGTCTTTTTTTTTTTTTTTGGCTTGATAAATTACGGAAAGAGATAAAACAAGACCTCAATCACTCGATTCCACAAATTGGGGTCTCTGGAATCGGCAACAACGAAACAGCCCATCATCACTCATATTTCGATTATCTGGCATACAAACGCAGTTTTTCCTTCAAAACTTTCTGCGACCCACACCGCAGAAAGGTCCGGCACAACAATCTCCATTTAAATCATTTAGAGACATATCACCTAAAGTAATTATGTCTGTATGAGGACAATACTATTATAGAAAGCCTTATTGAGATCAAACGGACAATGCGAGGCTCTGGATACTTTTCTTTCCATCAACATCTGGGTGCTTCTATTGGCTTGAATCTACGACTGCATAGACAAGCAAAACAAGAAGGACAAAGACTAGTTTTTAATCCGGTTCCTTGACGCTAAATTCTGGTGCGGTTTCATCGACCTTGTATTCAAACCTCTCATTACCGAAGCCACACGCGCTCTGTCACCCGTCTCGCCTTTATAGCCAGAGTCCTCTGGTGATTGAAATTTCATGACTGGCGTCCCGGCAAACAACGATGAATACAAACATGAGGAAGCCTTGCGTCACAACACATTACCGCAGTTTCTTGGAGCATTCATCAACGACATCAGCTTGTTTTCTTTCTACGAAGCACCAAATTACAGACTTTTATCGGTGCATAGGACATGAATAACCGCAGACCAGCACCATGTCTTCACAATCCAAGGGGACTTGGCGGCTGTTACGTTTCCACACTATACATGCTTATGCAAACATGATAGCGCGATATAAGAACTCTACTTGAGATCCTAGCAATGAGAGCCACCATAAATTTATTCTTGTTTTGGGCTTTGAGATATAGTTGGCTCGGCGAATTTTCATCGTTGATAAAGGCCGATCAGGGCCACCTCTCGGCGCATTGAAGCTTTATGTTACAGAAACTCTTGTAGACGAGACTTTGCCACGCGCCTATAGTTAGTAGCCATGTCACTTATACGAAAAACAGACTGTTATAGCACATGTCTTAAAGACGCCCTACCTACATACCCTTGGCATTTGGTGCATTCGTTAAACGACGAATGAAACGGCAAAGAGCCGCATCTGCATCCTGAAGCTGAGGCAAAAAGCGAATATTCGGGTCATACGCGACAATTCGAGGCTACTTTGGCAACAATTACCAGCACTATTTGGTTGGCTTTCCATGTCACAGCCTCGGCACACAAAAAGTGACAGGCATTAGTGGCGTGCTTGCTTAATTGCTTCTTGGATGGATGACGAAATATGCCGCAGTGCGAACAAGGAGAGAGATGCTGTGTCGCGAAGGTGTTGTAATATGGGGTTTTGGGGCGCCAAAGCACAAGGACCAAACGGCTTCGATAGGCTCGGATTAATGTCCCAGTAACGCAAAGACACAAACTCGAGTCACATGGAGAAGCGCTACTGTCACACAGCAGCGCTATGAGCGATCGGTCGATATGGTCTCAGCAGTGGTCATTTGACTGGTTGAAATTCGAAACGGAATAAGTACTTCACGTAGCTTCCAGGAGGGTGTCTTGGACCAACGAGATGCGATCCCATAAATTTGAGGCCGAAGAAGTTCCATCAAGAGCGGCCTTGTTCTGGAATAGCCCCACGATATCACCCTGGTTCGCAGTTTAAGGTAGCGAATACGAAGGATCAATCGAAAGCATGGAACAAGCGAGCCATTTTTAGCAGCTCTCACAACTTCTCCAATCCGAGTGGCCATGTATTTCCTGTGGGTGCTCGACGCATACGGTAGATCTTTTTTCTTATTTTTACCGAGCCAGTGGAAAGACATGAAGCTAAAAGAGAGAAAAGGCTGTCATGAGGCTTCCCAGTGGTTACATGGCGTTACCAATGGGATCAAACTCCTGCAAGCTGCTGCAAGCCGCGCAGCCGGCTGGGGGGTGGTTTGCATAAGAGCCGCTGCAGAAGATCCCGCGCGCACATCTGATGCAAGGCGGGACGGAACCAATATGGCTGTAAGGCTTAATGCAGTGCAACTCGGTACGCGAAGGAGAGCAATGACCTGTCTTGCATGCACTGCAGAATGGTATGTTATATATCATGTAATCATGTATTAGCACGGCAAAGAATGAAACAAATGCCTCCTCCCTCAGAGAGATGCATGTTCGTCCCATAAACCCAGGGGGGGGAATACAACCATGGAAAATCGCTAACAGCCAAAGGAGTAAGCGAGTAAATTCAGACATGTCAGATGTGACGATCGATGATAGACCAGATCCCAGCACGCGGGACGGAAAGGCAGGAGAGGAGATTCTATGAGAAGAGGAGAACCTCGGACAGAAGGGGGAGGGTAGAATGCATCTCTAGACGGGCTCTTGCATGTGTCTGCGCATACCCGTCGCATCCACGATTCTCGCGCGTGGGTCATATCAAAGGTAGCAGCCGTGAGAAGGTAAGGCACCAGGCTGGGAGGCATCTTGGTGTATTGCCATATAGATTGGTCATATAGCAAGGCCGTTGCAGGGCTCCAGGTCGTACCGCGGAACGGGCGATACCGCATTTCCGTAGCGGGCGTAACATGATAAGTCGGTGTTGGAGGCATTGGAGGATATTGGAGATGGAGGTGAGGGGCGGCCCTTTTTTGCGCCTGTGGCTGTGGATAGATGAATGGGTGGTTGGACAAATTGTCGCGTCGGACACAGAGGCGCTGGCTGGTGCTTTGGCTGGTGCTTTGGCTGGTGCTTTGGAGCACAAGTGTGGTTGTTTGTTAAGCGAGGGCGTTGGAGATGGGAGAAGTTGAGTCCAGCTCGTAGCACAGGATATTGAAGATTGGAAGCCATCGTGACGGAAAGTATAAGTACATCTGCCCAGGAAACGGAGGAAGACGATAGAAGAGGTGCGCCAGAGACGATGGCAAGAGGGGAGACGCTCTTTCCCCAGTGCTGGAGAGGGGCCTCAACCCCTCGTGATCGCCTCGACTTTTTATTGCCCTCGACCGTTTCGCCTTCATCTTTTCCCTCTTTTGGCTTGTTTACTCGTAATTCATTCTTCCTCCCAGCTGCGCTAGGCGCTGCCCGGCACACACCACCTTTTGGCCGTTTGGCTTCTGTCCTGGCCCGATCCTTGGCTCAATACCAGCTGCCTTTCCGGTCGACGATGATCGGTATCCTCAGAAGGGTTGGTTCCGGCCAGCTCCGCCCTTGCTCCCAAAGAAAATACTGACGGGCGCTTTGCGGCGCCTCAGACTGACCAAGAGCGTTCCGTATCTTGCAGAGTGATCTGATACGACGGCCATCTCCAGCCCAGTGAGCGTCAATAAGTCGACCCAAGTCTCAGCAACTCCGACTGTGCTTCATGCAACGACAAAACCCGAGCACTGCACATCGCTGACAAGCCGGGATCAGCATCCTGCCATACTTCAGCTCTTGCAGTTTCAGCCTTCTAGCTCGGCCCCCCTGGTCCAGCTTCCCATCGACGAACAAGAAAACACGGTGCCAGGCCAGAGTTCATCTCGATGGGCGGAGTTCATAACAGCCCCCAAAAACTTATTACCCGGCGTGCAGCGGTTACCCCTGCAGTGAATGCATGCTGGCAGCCGTCACCGATCAAACGGCTTGGAGCTAGATATTCGACGACGCTTCTAGAGCCATGTGATTGGTAGCCATTCACAGCCATTTGAACTTTGAATCCTAGCCGCATAAATATGACAAAGTAGCTCCCGCGGCATAAAAACAGGCTTACTCGGGAAGGGGTTCAAGATTGACTCTGGCTGGCTTCATTCACCAGCTACTGTGCCTTGCTGCTGCTTGACCTTGACGTTGCAAGCACAGACTTGGACTTACAGGAATTAGTGGAGCGTGGGGTAGCTACAGCGAGGTACAGGTAGTACCGCTCATTCACCCTGGCACAGATATTTGGCCGCCCGCGCCGCTGGAATCGGGCAGCTTTCAAACGGGCCATGGCCCTAGTTAAGCCGCCGCCTTGAGCTGCGTTTGATCAAACGGAGAGCCCTTGGGTGCTTTTCCTTCCATCATCAGCTAACATCGCCATCTTCTTCGCCATCACCGCCGTCGCAAAGTTTCAGCCTCTCGACTGTTGCGGCTCTAACAGTGATAACGCCAACCAAGCCGCCGGCCGAAAACAACGACCGCCTTCCCCCCCACGATCCTGATTCTCCAATCACAAGCTCTTAGCTGCACCAGAGAGATCCCAGGATTAAAGGCCCGCGCCAAAACCTGGCCACACCGGGGGTTCGGTCTCAAACCACTCGCGCGCCGCCAGCTCTCAATCCATCCTGCGGCGTTATGCACATCACTGCCGTCATCATCCCGAGACCATGAGCCTCTGCGCATTGAACTTGCCGAACCAGACGCTGTCGTCACTCCAACGTTCATGCACAGTACTATCCTCTCCCTCCTTTGCAACCCTCGCCCTCTCGCGATACAGTCGATCTACCGTCCTTTATCGTCTTCGCTACCAACACCACCGCCGCCTACTGCGTCAGCCCCAGCTCCAACGCTACAGCCATCCGTCTCTCCACCGCTGCTGACCTCGTTACGGCCACGGGTGGCTCTCTCTGTCCAAGAGGCGCCGTAGCGCCTCGCTCGACAGCCAGCCATGGCCACTTCCAATACAATACCAGATACGCAGCTAGGGCTCAGTGCCGAAGAGGTCCAGCTGCTTCGGCAAGGTCAGGCCGCCTTGGGAGGCGGCGGAGGTTCAGCAAGCTCTCGGGCCGCCAGCAGGGCCAGCAGTCAAGGCCTCTTAATGCTAGACTCCTCATCACTGTCAGCTCTAGGGCGATACTTTGATCGATTAATGGCCGGTATCGAGCAGAACATCCGCTATCTCAGCGAGCAAGCCCAAATGTTTACACAAGTTCAATACGACCGAGCTGGTAACATCATTGATGGCGCCGATGCCGAAATCGCACGATACGCCGACATCTTACGGCAGCTCGATGAGCTCGAGGTTGATTTCGATAGGATAGCCCATATTAAAGAAATCGTCAAGGGATACAGATCAAGAGTTGAAGCACTCGAGAAAGACTTGGAGAGTAGCGGTGGCGGTTCGTCAAATCGGCACAAGCATTCGTCACATCACCACAAGCACTCTCACAAGCACAGCTCATCCCGCCACAAGTGAGGCGAGATTGCCAATGCCACCACCTTCTTTTTAGCTACCGGGCTGGAGCCAGCGCCGGCCTTATAGACAGATATTGTCATTGTCGAATTATGCGCTCTGTGGGATGACTACCGCTTGATCACCGGCAAGTTTATCTAAGGAGAGCCCATCACCACACAAGAAATCTCAGTACAGGGTTACCAATGGAAAGGAAAAAATGGATATTGCAAAAAGGGAACAAAAAAAATTTGTCTTGGGATGCCCAAGCAGGCATGATCCAGTCGTTGTAGAAGGGGATTTGTATATTCTCGAGTTTGCAGGACTACGGCTGCGGAATTCCTCAAGATGGGTGAGGCCTCGCGGCTAGGCAAGAAAGGATAAAGCCTCACGGCTGGTCATTTCAGTTTTGGGTTTGGGCATTGTTGGCTCTAGGGCGTTGTGGCCTGCGATTTTTGTCTATTTTTTTTTTTATTTTTTTTTTTTTTTTTTTTTTTTTTTTTTTTTTTTTTATTTTATTTTTTTTTTTTGCTTGCTCTTTTCTTCTTCACTGCATTTCAATCGCTCACTCCGCATGCTCTTTTTTTTTTTCGTGGATCTATCAATTGTTTTGTTATTCCTTCTAATTGGGATATGGGAGCTGAAGATATTGCATTTATGTACGTTTGGGAGCAATTTTGTTTACCAGGGAGCGAAGAAGAAACAGGAATCTTTTTCTCTATGACACCGGAATACGGCGTTCGCGGCCATTTTACTATCTGCTTTATATACCCTTTGGAAAGATTTGGAAAGACACTGTTTTCTCGCCAGGTGTCGTCAGAAACAGAGAGGCACGAGCCTGCGTCGGTCAGGCTGCTCACTGCTGGGCCGATGGTGTTTAGATTGCGGCAGAAGCAAACAGCGCAGCGACCTGGATGCAATGCATTCATCTCCCCGCGGAGAGAGACCGCATCTCGACCATGCAAGCAGGCGAGGCGGTATGCATCAACACGCAGCTCCAGAGCCATGCGCTGTTAGTCATTAGCATTAGCAGTATTATTTTTAAGACGTAATACGAGTTGGCGCAACGTGCTCCGTACAGGGCGACAGCGTAACTTTTTTCTCATTCTCTCTTTCCGTGCCCCCCCCCCTTCAGTTGGTGACTGTCAATTTCGGTGTAGACCAGGTTACTGGCTGGCTGTGGAGATTCAGTCACCGCATCAATAGCTGCATGATCACTTGAGCCGACCCAATGGCCTAGAAGACATGTCTGTTGACTGGAGCTGGGAGCTGGCTAAACGGGCGGAACGGATTCTCGCAGTGGTCGTGATTGGGCACAAAATGGGCATATCAGAGCATCTGGTTCGTTGTCGTGCTTCACTATCTTGCTTTTTGGTCAAGAAGAGGAGGCGTGGGATGCGTTTCTGCGTGTCCTAAACACTGCTGATAGTCTTGAATTTACATCATTTGTCGCATTCATTTCATCCGGGCCATGGAGATGATGATATAGCACTGCTAGCCAACCCAATGTCCAATGCCTTTTTGCAGCTCATATCACGCACATACTCACTCTCAGCTCTGCTTCGTGCCAACTTTTGCATAAGTGGACCGAGATAGAAGAGCGTCCTCTATTCGTTCTTTCACCCCACACTCCATGTCGGACATGGCTCGATATCGATGGAACATTGTGAGAGCAAAATACAACCAACTACTACTAGTTGACATCGTTTCAAGAGGTCTAGATCATGTTCATTCCATTCAAGGAGTTATGTGTGTTCTATCTAAATCATCCACCAGGCTAAATCATAGACATATTCGTGATATCTGAAAATACAACAACACCAAAGCAAACAAAAAAAAAAAAGGCACAGGGAGCGATACGATAAACAGCATCACACCTCACCAGCACAGTATACTCTCTCAAGATTTTGTTAAATGATCTTTGTGGATTGCATCTCTCTCTCTCTGTGTCTGCCATGTCTCTCCTGAAAAACGCCCAAGCCAAAAAGAAGGTCAAACCAAAAAAAAAAAAATCAACCAAAAGCCAACCAAATCAAAAGGCGTACGCCAGCTAATAAACCAGCCAGCTTTACAAAATTCGACCTTCGCGCCACATATCTTCATAACGGGGAACAGAAAAGGGGGATAACACACAGGACAGAAAATACATGAGAAGAAGAAGAAAAGGGGGGAGAAGAGAAAAGAAGGAGAGGGGGACAAATTGAACTCCATCCCTGAGGAACGTGCTGTCTGCTGAATAACTTCTGCGTCTAATGCGTCTTTCCACCTCTCGCGATGATAAAAAAAAATAATGAAAGAACCAAATCAAGAGCTTTTGTTGGATTGCGGCTCCGGTTCGCGTCCTCGAACTTGTTTTCCTCCGCTATGTGAGTGAATGCGTTAAAACAAACACAGTGTCGAAAAACAAAGATGAAAGAAAGAAGCATGAGTTGTTGATTAAACGAGGTAAAGCACGGGTAATGAACTCGTGTTGATGCAAGCGTTAAGTATGGTGAGTGGCTCCATACCATAAAAAAAGGAGGTGAAAATACGCGTTTCTCATCGGTTGCTGGTGGGCATCGTAACACGATACTCCTGGCCGCAGATAACAGCAGCAGAGACAGCAAAAGATGAGGTTAAAGGTAATGTACGGTACCCATATATGTGTAGTTAGGGTATGATGTCGATAATCGATTGGTGTTTGTGCAATGCCATGCATAAAAAGAATCCTGAAAAGTAACCCCCTAGACCGAACAAGGGGGTTCACAGCAGATCCGGAGCAAAACAAGAAAATCCAACGAGTCGTTATAAAAAATGACAAATGAAAGGGGCACTTTTTTTTTCTTCTTTTACTCGCCCTTTCTTTCTTTTTTTTTCTTTGCTTTTTTTTTTACCCATTTCACTAATCCTTCATAGCCGCAAAGCTGCCTAAACTTGCGCGATGCGTCGGCTCCGAACCAGGAAGGGACTCGGCATGTCGTCTCGGTCCGGGTCCCACACGGCCACCGGCTCGTGTCCGGTGCTGACTACACGGTCTCGCTGCGGCTTCGTCGAGGCCGCGACCCTCTTAGGGTTCACGTTCTCGCCCAGCGGTATGCCCGGGACGCTCAGGGGGCGGCCTCCAGCGCGTGCCTGCTGCAGCTCGACCAGTGTCCGGCCCTTAACGTTGTTCTTAGCGGCTGCCACCTTGCTATGCGCAGAGCCGTCCTTCTTAGATGACAGCCTGCGAGACGTGCTGGATGACGAGGATGTGGGCGACGGCGTGTTGGCTTCACTAACATTCTTCTGCCCCGTGAGGTTAGCGACGGAGGGAATCTTAGTCAACCGGCTAACTGGAGAGCGCGATCGCTGGTTTGGAGCAGAGGTGACAGCAGCCTTTGAGACGAAGCCACCCGACTTGGCTCCGCTAGTTCTCAGACGAGTAGCAAAGTTAGAAGCCTTCTGCGAAGAGAGAACCGGCCGATCTTTGTTCGTAAAGGGATTGTTGATTGATGAACTGTTAGTCGATCTATGTCGCGTCGGCGAAGAAGGAGTAACATCCTCGTCGTCCGAGTCTGTAAAGGCATCCTTCAAATCCCAATTTTCGGCCTTGGAAGCCGAATTCGCAGCAAAGATGTTACCTTGGTGCGTCAGGGCCTTGCCGCGGCGGCGCGGAGACAGCGATAGCGAGGCAATGGCCACGGGCGGCGATTCCATCTCAATATCCATGGGGGTGCCATGGGTGCCAGCATATGTCTGGGCCCTGCCATAGGGTGTACGCGCCGTCCGCTTGACTTCCTTGCTGATGTCTGGACTTTCGGCAGAGTAAGAAAGCTCTGTGATATCGGTGGTGGAAGGGAACTCGTCGCCACTCCCGTCAGCAGACGATGTTTGCGGTTGATCAGATCTTGCGGCGGGAGAGTCAATGATTTGCACATCTTCTGTTGGTGGTGACGGTGCTCTCTTCCGGCTTTTTGCTAGCTCTCTCTCCACGCGGCTCTTGACCTCTTCGTCAAACTGCTTCTTCAGCCTCTCTACTTCGGCGTTTATCTGTCGATCGATTTCCAGTCTGGCTTTGACCTCCCACTCTCTTCGTATAGAGGCGTCCAGCTCCTCACGCATTATGTGCTTCTCTTTATCCATGTTGACCAGCCGCGAATTCAGGGCCGCCTCTTTCTCGCGTAGAACCTCCTCGCGCGCCTTAAGCGCTCTGTTCAGGTCAACCACCTCTTTTTCTTTCCTCATAAGCTTCACAATTGGGTTGTTAAGCAGCTGTGCGGTGTCCGGTCTCCTATCGGGGTTGACTTTGAGGCAATCTTTGATGACATGGTTGAGTTCGGCAGAGTACATGTCCGGCAGAGGATTGATTCTGCCATCTTTGATCTTCTGAATGAGTTGAAAATGTGTCTTTGCGTTGAACGGGGGCTCGCGAGCGCAGAGTTCGTAGATGATGCAGCCCAGTGACCAAATGTCTGACTTGAGGGTATATTTTTCGGCTGCGCAGATCTCGGGAGACATGTAGAATGGGGTACCGACGTAAGTGGAAGCGAAGTCCTGCGATTTGATCATCTTTGACAGGCCAAAGTCACCTAGCTTGACGGAATTGTCTTCACCGAGAAAAACTATTTTACAGAACGGTCAAATCAGTTAAACGTTGACCTCTCCAACCTTAGCAACAAGCTTATTTAGGCTCTCACCATTTTCAGGCTTCAAATCTCGGTGTAGGATAGTCACGGCTCCTGCCGGCGGCTTTGGGGCACCATTTCCAGTCGGATCCAGCACATTGCCGCCGACTTCTGGAGGATCTATCCCATAATGACAGCGATACAGCGCCAGAACCAGCTGGCTAAAGACTCTCCATACGAAGCTCTCTTGGGCCCTCTGGCCCTTCAACTGCAGATCCTTGATCACGCGACCAAGATCTCCATTGCCACAGTATTCCATGTATAGATGCAGATCCTGGCTCGCCTTGAGGTGCTCGCGGTGGTAGTAGGCGACGATGTGCGGGTGGCGGAGGTGCGACAGGATCTGGAACTCGGCGTGGAGCTGCTCGCGCTCTTTCTGCGACATGCGGAGGTAGGAGATTTCTTTGCGGCACATGATGAAGCCATCGGCCTTGCGACGGACTTTGCGGATGATGCCAAAGGAGCCATGGCCTGGATAATGACGCAATGTTAGCTGCGACTCTCAAAGCCAAACACAGCGATAATCATCGTCGGGACCACCGACCAATCTTCTCCAACGTCTCGTATTTGTCCTCGTATGACATGTTGAGCGTTTCTCACGGTGGTACCAGCGATGGCTATCTGTATTCGAGCCCCATAAAGGAACCGTTCCCAACCACACGACCGGGAGAGGAGAGGAAAGAGGAGGATGGAGGGGGGGCGAGGAGAGGGTGGGAAGGGTATAAAAGAAGCCAGAAAAAGAATGATGTGCTATTTTCTCCTCGTACTGTTAGGTTAGTTGGTACCGAAGCAAATATGCTGAGGGGGGTGAAGCTTGTTCTGGTGATGCTGTTTCAAAGGAGGAGAGAGAAAAGTTTAGAATGTCAGAAAGGAAAAGGTTAACACAATGAATGGACAACAGAGCAACGAGGCTTGACCACGTAAATGGGGCGTCTTCCAGTTAGCCTCTGAAAAAAAAAGGGTTCCAAACCCAAAAGAGTTGGAGCGGAACCGCCTGTTACTGCGCTGGCTGCGCTGAAAACGAAAGCCAGCGCTTGTGCGTGCACTTTCGATGCGCCCAAAGAGGGACCCTGGTTCCGCCAATTCGTTGACGCTAAAGGACGGGGCCCAAGTCAGTCGATGTAAACAGTGGATGCGGCTGCCATGGCAACGGGCCCAAAGAGGAAAGGGCCGCGGTGTCGTCGCTTATCGATAACGCACTGACAGAACGTGTAAGCGCCACCAGCCCCATCATGTGGCTTGTCAGACAGAACGTGGCGCATTGCGAGAGCAGGTACTTTATGAAGCGGTCAGAGCAGCTACGAGACTGCGGAAATCCAAGTCACCCAAACTTTAGGGTAAGACGGACGGAGTTCAGTAGCAGTTACTTATGACTATTGGGTAGGCAGATCAGGACCAGCATTTCAATGGGCAAAGCAGGATCTAAGAATGTGCATTTTGGGCGAAACAAATACTTGGCTTATACAAAACACAAATCTAAGACTGGTGGGCCCTTGTTGGCAGCTCCGATGACATCCAAGATAAGCGGCAAAGTTATCTCCGTCGAGAAGCATTTCGCCTTTTTTTAGCCACTTTACATAATCCCAGACTCTTTATTTCAAACTGTGCTTTTGTACACTCATGGCGGCATTGATATCACTCTCCATATCACCTACATCTGTCCTTGCATTGCCTTTTCCTTCCCCTCACCTCGTTTCTTTCCTTTCTTTTTTCTTTTTGGGTTAAAAAAAATTAATAAACGCAAAATAGTGCATGCACAAAAGGATGGTGCTGGGAAAGCATGAGCTGGAAGGCAAATTGGGCGAAGAGAGCCTGCTGATAAAAAGCGGCGTGCTGCGAGACGAGAACCCCCTCGACACGAGTGCGCAGTTTCACGAGTTTCTGCTGGCGTGTCGTCAGGGAGATTTGCAAAAATGCCAGCAACTCATTTCCATGGGCGTCAATATCAACGGCAAGGACAAATTTGATTATACGCCGTTGATTCTGGTGAGTTGCGCTTGTCGGACTTAACAGCGGGAGGAGAGTTGACGATGAGAAATAGGCTAGTTTGTGCGGGCATTATGAGCTGGTTCAGGTTCTACTAGAAGCAGGTGAGTCTAATTCTCATCCTGTTTGCCGTTCTCTCTCTTTTTAGTTTTCACAAGAAGCCAATCCTTGTCTATGCTCCTCATATCCCACCGAACCCCTCCTCACGCAAGCCGCTGCCATGAAGAGCTCACTCACTGATACATCTCACTCATTGCAGGTGCCCTCGCCGAGAGAAACACATTTCAAGGCGAGCGCTGCATATACAACGCCCTCAACGACAGAATCCGCAACCTGCTCCTGCAGTACGACTTCTCCAAGAGCTCAGACCCCTACGTGTATTGGTCATCACACATTTCCACCCTATTGGGCCGGCCGGCTCCGCAGACGGCCGACATCTCGCTCGATGCCGGCAACACGTCCTTTAACCTTCACAAGTTCCTGCTGGCCTCGAGAACGCCGTATTTCCGTAGGAAACTCGAGGCGGCGCCCGAAACCGAGTCTTTTAAGCTATCCTCATCTATCCCCGTGGAGGCATTCCAGATTGCTGTTCGGTACATCTACCTGGGTGACTTGCCCAAGGATCTTGCTCCGCCGGGTAGTGCCACTACCGAAGAAGAAGTCGCCAAGGGCTTGGATAAGATCAGCAAGCTGCTTGAAATTGAACAGCTCTGGGAGGCCATCTTGGTAGGCAATGACCGAAGATTGGCGCGGCAGCGGTATGAGGATGAGGTCGAGAGGGCGAGGAATCAAATAGGAGACTTCTTCCAGCAGAGCATCGTTGGCCACAAGATGGTTGTTGACATAGACCGGGTCGACGAAGTCCGATGGAAATACGACAACTCCATCTTCGCAGACATATTGCTGCGAGCTGATGAACCTGACACCACAGATGAAGCCGTCGATGGCCCCAAAGATTCAACGTCGAATGGCTACAACAGCGCCGGCATACCCATCGGGCCTTCACAAGCAACCAACGGCGTCAAGAAGGCGAGGAAATCAGTGCTATATCCAGCTCACAAGGCAATGCTCATCCGCAGCGAATACTTCGACAAGATGTTCTCCGGCGACTTTGTTGAGTCTCAAAAGTCAGACCACCTCCACGTCGTCACCGTAGACTGCACGCCCGCCGTTCTAGAGCTCATCCTCTCATTCCTCTACACCGAAACCGCCACATGTCCCCTCGAGCACGCCCTGGACCTCCTCTACGCCGCCGACATGCTCTTCCTCGACAGCCTCAAGAACAAGGCCGCCATCGCCATCAGCACCCTCGGCAGCGGCTCCAACAACGCCCTCGTCGACCGTACGCACAGCGCCGGAGAGCAGACTGGCGATGTCGTAGAGGTAGAGCCCATCAACATCTACGATGTGATCCACGCGGCCTGGGACTTGAGAGTCCAGCGACTGGAAGAGTTCGCGGCGCGGTATCTGGCGCATCGTCTGGAGTATTACATCGACGAGCCGGACTTCCACGAACTTATTCGAGAGAGCGCAGAACGTATCCAGAAGCGTGAAGAGACGGATACCATCGAATTGCTGGACGACATCCGTTATTACCTCTCTGAACGTTTCCGCCTGCGTTTCGAAGACGCCGGCCTGGAAGAAATGATGGACGAAGAAGGCGAGATTAACGCACAAATGGCTGCGGCGCTGGCAGACGGCGCACTAGATGCTCAGCCTGAAGCAAAGACAAACGAGAACGGCTTGACGACTGACGCTGCCAATGGTGATACAACAACTCCTCTTCCTGAGGCAAAGAAGAGCGAAGATGACAGCCAGCCTGAGGGAGATGCTATGCGGACGCTGGATGGAGAAACGGCAGAAGACGAATTTGCATCGGATGCGATTAATTATCAGATTCTGCTGCAAAAGATTGATGCCATGTTGGAGGGCTTGAAGCTGGATGCATGAATGGATGGGATACGGCGCACATATGCATGTTGCATTTATATATGGGATACTGATTCGATTCATACAATGCATATATATACATGGAGTATTCTTTACTTTGTCTTGTTACGTACTCTTTATTATCAAGGTTCTTTGACTTTCTTACATTCTTACATGTCTGTAAACCAAAATGAACCACAAGTACTAGAATATGTATTTGGTAACAAACTCAAACGCTGCAGTAAGCCAGCCTCGAAATACTCACAAAACACATAAAAAAGAAAGAAGACCGCCGCATATCGCTACCAGTCAAATTCACAAGTATCTAATGATACATGTCAGAAAAGAAAAAGAAAGCCTCGCTCATGATTCCAATATACACTGCACACTAGATCTACCCAGAAAAAAAAGAAACAAAAACAAAACTCGCTTAATACTTCACAAGCTTGATCTTTGCTTGCAGCCCCTCCGGCAGATCCTCCAACTTGACCAATCCCAGCTGCACACAGTCTCCCCAGAAAAACATGGCCCGATCCTGAGCATAGCTCAAGTAGTCGAACTCATCCGCGCCGGGCTCCTCATCGGCGGGATTTCCGTCAAGGCCTGGCACCTTGGCCTGCACGATACCCCAGGCAATCCACTGAGCGCTGTTTGCCGGCTGCCACAGTCGCGCCTCGTCAATGAGTTCTCGTACCTGCTGGTCGATCTGCTCCTCGCGCGCCTTTTCGACCGCGCCCCAATCGCCACCGGGGTAGCGAGCGTCGAGCATGAAGTCAACAATGGAGCTGCTAGACGCCGTCGGCTGAAGAGATGGAGTGGCTGCACCACTAGCAGCGCCGCTGTCAACAGGAGTCATGCGAGGTGTCGAACTGGCCAGCGGGAACTGAGGGCGATGGTCCACGTATGCCCTGATAAATCGCTTCTGCTCTTCTAGAGTCGGGTAACGGTCTGCGTGGCAAGCAAAAGGGGCCACAGGGTCGTGGTAGTTGTACATCCATTCCGTGAAATGGTTGGCAAATTCGTGCCCAGCTGTGTTGGGACCTGCATACTCAAAATCGATGACGACAAGTTGTTTGTGCTTGTTGGCAGGTTGAAGGAGCGGTGACTTTTCATCATCGGGCCGGATCCTGAGAATATTGCCGTATTGAGTCTGAAAAAAAAAATCAGTCAGCTTTGGGAAGTGCATCTGAGTATCGAGATCCTTACATCGTTGTGCGCAAAGACAAGTCGGTCCTTGAGAGCCCTCTTGTCCTTGTAGCAGCCGTTCAAATAAGCCCTGTACTTCATTACCACATCTTTAAACTGCTCCCAGGGCACTCCGCACACGTAACCATTGGCTTTCCAAGCATGGGCGGCAGAGTTTCTCCTCTCTCCTTCGGGGGTGTTGTCCAACTCCTTATCCAAGAAACTGGTGATGCGGCCGACATTATCCAGCCACTGGTCCCAGTTCTTCCACACAGAAGCGCCATTCTCCCTCTCATGCAGCAGCACTTCAATTCCCTCGTGCAGCTCTCTCATACGCTTCGCAATCTGTCTCGAGGTTTCCGGCTCTCGTAGGTTCAGCGGGGTAAGCGTAATGGCATTGAAAAACTGCTCAAAACGACCATTCTTGAAGGTTCCTAGCAGGCGTGGACCAATCTTCTTACGCGCAAGTCGCTGCAACACTTGCAACTCATTCTCTCGGTCAATGAGGTGCTCCACTTGCGGTCCGTACACTCGAAGCAAGACTTTTGTCGGGGGCTTCCTGCCCTCGAGCTGCGGGATCCCAGCCGGTGGAGTGACGACATATACAGCGTTCGTCAAAGCGCCGCTCAGTCGCTCAACCGCCATGGCCTCGCCGCTGCCAAGGGGGATACGGCGCCAGCCCTTGAGCCTTAAAGTGTGAGCTATCCGTAGGATCTCATTCTTGAAAGTAGTCCATGCCTCTTTCTCTTTTTCAACCTTGACTGAAACATCCTCTGCGCTGGCGCTACCTCCAGTGTAGCTCATAGTCTTGGAATTATCCAGCCAAGCATCGCAGCTGGGAACGATAGCGTCGCCATCAACATAGTCGGTATCCGAAGAAGCTGTGCGATGGAAGGACGAGCGCGAACCTGGTCGACGGTGCTTAGGGCCAACTCGAGGACTATATTTTGGTAGCGAAGTAAGCCCTATAGAAGCCATTGACGTCTCCAAAATATGCTGCAACCCGTCAAAAGAGATGTCGCTCGACTGGGAGCTCATGGAATTCGACCGTTCGCGCAAAGGTTGGCTGTGAGACTCGGTCGTAGCCGCAGTAGAATCTGCAGCCGCGGTCTGGTCGGACGGCGGTGATTTAGACTTGCGCCGACGAGGCTTCAGCTTCCTCGTCGCAGCCTTCTTGCGCTCACGCTCCAGCCATTCTCCAACTTGAGCCAATATCCGCTCGCTCTGGTGGTTGCGGCGGTGGTTATGGTGATGCGACGTCAATGCTGAATCCTCGACGGGTCTCAAAGCTGGCGAGGCGCTCGCAGAAAGCTTGCCGCTGAGGCGACGAGTTGGGGCTGTCTGTAGACCACGACGCTGCTTGGCGTGATGCGAGTCATCTTCGATATAATCCTCGGGGACAGGGTCCGCAATCTGCACCGCTATAACGAGTGTAAGCTTAGGGTCGGCAAAGTATTCCACATCTCCTTGTCCCAATTTTTTACCTCATCGGCCTGAGATAACACGACGAGTAAGGCACGCAAGGGAAATTGTAGACAGAGGCCAACATCGTATTCACCCCCACCAGTTGAACCCCGCTGCATCAGGCGAGCTTGTCATGATAGTAGCAGCGCCGCAACACCCAAAGCCAACATGGAGGCACTGTCCAGTCCACAGGCGAAAACTTCTCGAGCGTCCAAATTCGTAGTTCAAAGGCGATGTAACTTCCTCTGGTCCCATTGGCTGCGAAATCATGTCCTCAACGTACCTTTGAGAGTGCCGCTGGCAGGTGGAGTTCGAACTGCTTCGTCGTCGGCCTTGAGTGCCGAGCGCAAAGGCGTCGGCGGATGCGTGCCTGGCGTTTCGGCCATTTAAGCGAAAGCAAGGGATAGATTCTCTGCAAGTGTGGCGAGAGAGGAATGCGGCAGCTGTGCGCCTTTTGATTTGATTCAGAACGATTCGAAGCGAGGCGCGAACGAGTTGTCGTGGGGGTCTCGAATGTCTCAAGCCCCAACAAACAAAAAGATGGTCAGAGGAAGGGTCCCAGTGGCAACAAATCGTGACTTAGACAACCGCTACATTCACTGTTATTACCGCCCGAGCAGCAATAATGGAAAAGAATGAAAAAGAGAGAACAAGTGAAATTGCGTCGAAGTGAAAACGAGAGAAGACAAAGAAGGGGAGGAATGAAAGTGTAGAAAAGAAAAGGGTCCGGGGGAGTACGAAAGCAGCACTCGTGACCAGTGACGGCGGGTTGGCTGGGGGTTACAGACTTGACAAGGCCTAGGACGGTCTATGCGAACGCCACGTTTTTTTTGTGTTACCCAAAGGCGACAAAAAAGTTCTGATAAGGGATCCAGGATTGACTAGGCCTGACTATAAGAGGAGGGATCCTCAGGAGACTAAGGCGTGAAGGGGCCAACTGGATGACGTACGGGGAGCGCCGTGGCTTTGTCTTTGCGTCGACTTGTGCCTTTTCTCTCGACTATTGGTTTCCACGTTGTAATTAATGATGGAGTTTTTCTATCCAGAGAGTTTGAGCCGTCATGTCACGGCCCGTTGCGCCGTCAAACTGCGTAGGGTCTTGATGCTGGCAGCCAACTAAGCAATACGTAAATGCATCCCACGCCTAGCAGCATCCAGTCGCAGACATGTGATTTTGGGGGTCTCTCTGCCTACCCAAGATGGTAAAATCGTCCAATAGTAGTGCCACCCAACTTTCTCAGCAACTCAACAAAACTGCGAGCTCAGCCTCGCTCTTGTTCCTTCTCCTGCGTGATGCATATACTATAACCACAACCCTGACGGCCTCTTCTCTCTCTCGGTCGCCGCAAGAGGAAATCTCATGCGTGCCTCCAAAGCGCTGAGGCCTGTCCCCAAACCCACTTTTCTTATCTCGGCATGGAACGGTTTTGTTGCTCGCGTGCGCACTTTTTCCCACGCCAGTCCGCCGGTCCTATTTCGTTCTATTGGCTCTAATACCTAGCTCTAGCAGCTCTAACGGCTCTAATTAGACATAACAAACAGTAATGGTAGTACGGAGTAGTACTGTACTTATATAACAAGGGAAAGAAAAAGCGAGGAAGCGAGCACCCATCAGACCCAGTCCTCGCTAGCAGCCAACCAGTCCCTCGTCACCTCCGCTCCCTCGTTCCTCATAGCCCAGGCAATCGCCTCAACAACATCGTCTACAATCACCGCAGGCTTGTACCTCGGCTCTCTCTGCGCCGCCGTCTCTTTCCATACTCCAGTCTTGACCAAAATCGAGATCCACTCCGTGCCGTCGTCCGGCGCGAACTCGTTGGCGCCGCGGATGTCGCTTTCCGGATTGTCGCCAATCATGTACACTCTCTTCAGTGGTCGCTTCTTGTCGCCCTTGCCGTGGTGATTCAGCAGCCTATCGTGTGCGTACTGGTAAGTGTGCCGGAATGGCTTGCCCAAGGCGCTGAACTGCAGCTCGGCGCCACCCGTCGATGCGGCCCACACTCCCTTGAGCGCCTCGACAAAGGCGCCGGTGCCGAATCTGTTGACGGGGAATTCCGTCTTCCACAGCAGGTCGAGGTTGGAGAACCAGAGCTGTGGCTGGCCGTCTTGCTGCCATCCGTTGTTGGGGAGTGATGCGTCGCCGTTCTTGTCGGATATCGTGCCTAGATAGCCGCGATGCGAGATGAGCAGATCGTGGATCACCTGGATGTCCAGGGACCAATCCCTTGGGTCGTTCCAGACAAGGATCTGGTCAATCTTGAGCGCATTTGCCGGTACGTCCTTGCTGTAGGGATCGATTGTGTTTGATACAACCTTGCCGTCGGGAAGAGGTCTTGATTCTTTGTGAAGGCTCTCTCTCAAGTTGTCAAAGGGATATACCTTGTCGTTGGCTTCGATGATGTCTGCAGGCGTCACAGCCCTAGCAAACCCGTATCTGCGCCCGCCTTCGTGTTAGCATAATCGTTTCTCTACCCAAAATGTCACAGAGGGCATGGGTTGGCACCGACTCATTGGCTACCCTGCGAGCAGTCTCTGGGTGAGATCCCGTAATCAGCACTGTCCCCTGCTTCTTTATCTGCTCATCCCACCCTCGCATTGGCGTGTGCGACAGGATGATCCTGTTGCGGATGACATCCTCGTCCTCCGACAACTCAAGCCGCTTGGACAATGATCTGAACTTCGCATCTTCATGGCTGCCGCCACCATTGGTTAAGAAGACGTATCGGGCGTCATGCGCTCTAATCTTCCTCAGCATCTCTCGGGCCCCTGGAATTGGCCTTGAGCCCTGGTATAAAACTCCATCGATGCTGTGATTCTCCCATAATTAGTTATAAGCTTATCAAGGACAAGACTCTGTGTATGCCACTTTGAACAATAACAAGACTAGGGTATGAGGGGGGTTTGAAAAGCTTCATCACATACTCAAAGGCAAAGGCAATGTCTGACAACGCCTTGTGCGCATCGCCATTCACAGCACCCTGTTTGAAGGACTGCGAAGGAGATTTGGCCTTTTCGCGCAAGGATGCTGCAACGTGAAATCCTCGCTTGCCTGTGCTTGTTCGAGTTGCGCTCGCTCTGAAGTTGCTGAAAGCCGGTGCTGGCTGGGCGATAAAGCCAAGTCGCGACCCAGGGATCAGCCGGCATCGGCTTAATAGCCTCGTGCGCGACATTATTGGTAAGTAAAGCCGCTCAATCTCAACCGAAAAGATTTCAACAACAGATGCGAGAGTAGAGTTGCAGCTGAAACAGTGTCAAAGACCCGGCGCTGTGAATAGCAGAATCGTCAGTCGTAGCTGAGGCAAGTTTGAGAAGCCGCAAAATCGCAGCCCGCCGACACAGGCCGGGGTGCTCCGTATCTCCACTGTCTTGAGCTGCTTCCCCCGCGATAGCGACTAGAGAGACTCCACGCCGGCATGACTCAATTTCACGTAATATCTTCTATAGTTCTTGGGGCATTTGGTCTCATATTCACTTTTGCCAAGCATGATGGTGTAGAAACGCTTCTGCGGCATGTTGGTTATATCAAGATTGAGTGGTTCATTGCTAGACAAGCATCCTTCATCCTTCTATGGCTTAGTGGTACACTACTTTTACAAATCCTTTTTATTTTGCGCCTTTGCTTCCCGTCATAGCATCAAGTCATTTTAATGGTTTCTCTTCCAGTCATTCAGATGATCAATCATCAGCTTCGCTCCCTCTTCCGGTGAGTGTTGTCGTCCCAGAGCCTCTACAAAGTCGCCATCTGGGTCCATCAGGTAAAAGTAGATGCTGTGATCGACCAAGTAGTCCTGTCCAGGCTTGACGTCTCGCGGCGTGCTGAAGTACACTCTATATTTCTTGCACATGTCTTTAATTTCATCGTAGGTGCCCGTCAGGCCAATTAGCTTGGGGCTGAATTCGGCAAGGTAGCCCTTGAGCGCTTCAGGATCGTCGCGCGCCGGGTCGCAGGTCACGAAGATGGGGAGCAGTCCGTTGTTGGGGATCTTGGCATCGACAATCTCCAGCATGCGGGCCATCTTGTCGAGCTCTTCCGGGCAAATATCCGGGCAGCGCGTGAATCCAAAGTAAACCTGATAAGAAGGAACCGAGTTAGAGTCGTATCAAATGCTGTGTCTGCCTCTGCTTGCTTGCTTACCAATGAATGCTTGCCGCGCATCATTTCGCTGGTGAACTTCTCGCCGTTCTGGTCAATCAGCTCAAAGGGTCCTCCAACCTTGGGACGGCCAACGCCCTTGGTTGTCTCTGCTATTCTCTTTCGCTGCATGCGCTCCTTTTCAAACTCAAAGTACCACACCAATCCACCACATGTACCCACAAACAAGATGGCTGCCTTCCATGAGAAGGGCTGCGCGAGAAGTCAGCACTTTAGTTCGAATCTTTGGCTTGAAGCTGCCGAGGCTGCTTAACAGCCTGTCAGAAACAAAGATTTCCTCATACCCCTGTGCTATACCGGCTCTTCGCTTGCTCGATAGTCTTGAATTTGGTTCGCTTCTGTGTAATCGGCTGCCGGGACTGAACTGGCACTCGTGGGAGGACAGGCCGAAGCTGCTTCGGCTGGAAAGCGCTGTTGGAGATGCATCGTTGGCATTGCTGCGCAGGCAGTCTTCGCAGGGCGCCTTGAATGGCTCTCGATGAGGCAAACATTGAGTGCGACATGATTTCTGCGCTTCGATTGTCGCCTTGCGCAGCCTCAATGCAAGAACTGAAGCCGAGCAATCGCTCCAGCTAAATATCGTCAGATGCTGCCCCACCTCGCTGCAATTGAGCAAGTTATTACAATTACAGTCTCATTTATTAATGCGACCTACTAACGCCGGATATCTACCGAAATCGATCTAAGATACCTAGTCATTGTGCGCTTAGTCAGGCCGAATTTCCATCTACTGGCGCTCTCACTATGGCTTTTGCTATAGACTGCCCCTGCGTGTACCTCAAAAACACTATTGTGAGGCGAATGCTGTGAAATTCTGCAGCCATATATTATTATTTCAAGTACTAATGTTGCCTCATTGCCTGTGATAATAATATTGTGTATTGTACAGTGGCAAGGGTGACGCAGCATTTGTTTGTTGGCGAGGGAACAATTCATCCAAGCGCGGTCATATTTTCATTTACAACGCCCGACGATGGAATCTTCCCGGGGGGGCACGGGGCCCTACATCATGGAAAGTCGATTCGAGCTTATTGAGGATGATATTAAAAGCGAAAGCGCGGTGAATTCACCAATGCCGCCTTTTTCTGAGACCATCCCAGCATTCAAGTCTTCGACTCCCTTGCCTTCTACAGAAACCGCGGAAACGATAGATCCAGCACCACCAATGCCTGGCCCAACGTCGGCTGCAAAAAAGAAGAAGGGGACGGCCTCAACCGTCAAAAAGGTCCCAAAGCGCCCAAAGTCCGTACGGGAGCCTAAAAAACCAAAATGTGCAAAGTCGACGGAAGCCAACGGTACCGCAGCAGAGGATGCATCCGACGAAGACGATGGGTCTGATAATGGGCCATACTGCATCTGTAGAGGGCCCGACGACCACCGCTGGATGATTTGCTGCGAAAGATGCGAAGACTGGTTTCACGGAGAGTGCGTGCATATTGCCAAGGATGTCGGCGAGAGTCTCATCGAGAAATTCATATGCCCAAACTGCACGACGGACAGCCTGGTGACGCTCTACAAGAAGACATGCACTCTAGGCTCGTGCCGAAAGGCAGCTCGCTTGAACCATAGTCCACCAAGTATGTTTTGTTCGGATGAACATGCTCAGACATGGTGGGAGCGTATGCTAGCTAGGTTGCCCAAAGCCAAGGCCAAGGCTGCGCTCAGCGACGAGCTCTCTCAAGAAGAATTCATGGCATTGCTGAGCAGCGATCTTGCTACTATTGATGGGGATGGATCCTGGACTCTGAGAGCTCCATTTTCAGGCAAACAGTCTGAAATGAATGGCGATGAGACTGGTAAGTGTTTATATAATCTGTACCACCGAGCGTCTCATCTCTTCTCTTTACTAACCACTCTCACAGCAACTGAAGAGCGTTTGGCTCAAATATTGACAGAAGAAGAGAAAGACTACCTAGATAAAAAAGCACACGCCAGATTCAAATTAGCCGAGGAGACGCTTCTCTGCCAAAAGATGATCACCCTCGTCGAATTAGTCCAAGAGCGCCGTCGAGCCGCCATCAGTGCCGGCCTATTTGCGGAAGACATATGCGGCTACGATCAGAGACTTGATACTATTGGGGCGCGAGATGCCTTTGCCGCTTTTGTTAAGTCGCCTGAAGGCGAGGCCATCTTCCAGGCGTCAAAGGTCGAAGATCCCCTCGGAGAGGGCGACGAGGTCAGGGGCATGTGCGAGCGCAAGCGGTGTAAGATCCACAGCGGCTGGCATAAGATGCTGGTGCTGGCTGTGAAGTATCAGATCAAGGAGATGGCAGACCAAGCAGCAGAAGTTGGCGAAGATGAGAGGATTCTCAGAGAGGCCGCTGAGGAGAGATGGAGAAGACGGCAAGCTGAGCAGAATTGGGTTGAGGTGCTTGATGGGTAAGGAGGTGCGCCTACCTAGCTTTAACGAACGGGAACTCGGTCTGGTTATAGGAGTTTTTGGGTGTTTCAAGCGACAGTTAAAAACAGGGTTAATGAATCCTTTGCTTACTGGTTTATCTATATATAATAATATTACCTACGGTGTGCCATGGTGCACCTGAAAGATGATACATCGAGTTCATAAAATGTGATATGCTTGTTGCTATGCTAAATAATGCACTGGTACACATGTATTTCTAGTATTGCGAGTTTCTCTTTTACATTTATAGATTCCATCTTCTTGCCTATTAGAAATATCCATATGCAAAGTTAGGATAAAGACCAATGCACCCATTCCGCAGTATTCAGAGCATGTAGATTAGCAGCGAATCAACCCACCTCAGCTGGAGCAGCCAAATGTGGTGGGGTTCTGAATCCTTACGTACCTTAGTAGATACTGTACCAATGGCGGGGGAGGGGTCGATGGCGAAAAAAAAAAAAATTCCGGACCAGCATCAGGAAGCCGAAAGATTCTGCTTATCAAGCAGGAAGCAACAGGGCAATTCCTTCCGGAAATCGAGACACTCTCGTTTCGTTTTCTTTTCGCCGCTGGCATTATTATTCGCATATTTATACCCTTTGCCAGATTTTGCCCTCGCTCATCTCTCATTTCATACAGTCCCACGGTCGCATCGCATCGCATCGCATCGCAAACACAATGTCTGCTTCCAACCACCCTGAAGATGAGATGGACGATAACCTCCTCGATGCCGAGGAAGTAGGCGAGGAGATTGCCAACGAGGATGATCTCGCCATGGACTCCGACAACGAGGAGCTCATCCTTCACAACGACTCCATTGCCTTCTTCGACCTGGCCCAGGACTCTCTCTTCGCCATTGCACAGCACCCTGTCCACCCTTCGCTGATCGCTGTCGGCGGTTCTGCTGGTGAGGCCGAAGATGCCCCTGGCGCCGGCTGGCTTTTCGACTCTTCAGCCGCTCAGTCACGGCCCGTTCTTCCCGCGAGCTTCGCCAGCGATCCCTCTGCCCAGCAGCCCCAGACCACCCAGCTCGAGAGCCTGTATTCTCTACAGGGCCACACAGATTCCATCAACACCTTGGCTTGGACTCTTCCTCAGGGTGAAGTCCTAGTCAGTGGCGGCCTGGACGGCAGAATAAAAGCTTGGAAGACCGATGTGCAACCTTCTTCAGGTCTCAAAGTCAGTCTGCTCGGAGAAGCGCAAGAAGTGGAGGAGATCAACTGGATCGCGCCCTGCCCTTCGCCTTCAAATCCCAACACCATCGCCCTAGGCGCCAACGACGGCTCTGTCTGGGTCTACACAATTGATCCCTCCGATTCCTCCAACCCTCTCCAGATCGTTCAGTCCTATTTCCTGCACACAGCCTCTTGCACGGCCGGAGCGTGGACTGCTGATGGTCAGCTACTGGCTACAGTTTCCGAAGACAGCAGCTTATACGTCTGGGATGTATGGGGGCAGGCAGCTGCCCAGGGTCTTGCCAACGATAATGGCATGACAGTAGTATCACTGACGGGCGAAGATCAACGGTTCGAGGTTGAGGGTGGCTTGTACTCCATCGCCATCGACCCCAAGGGCAACTTTGTCGCAACTGGTGGTGCCGGCGGTGCCATCAAGATTGTTTCTCTCCCCCGTCTCACAACCGCGGCTCCGGCCAGATCACAAGGTCGAGGCGGCAAATCTGCCGCTGACCCCAGCACCGGTGGACAAATTCTTGCCTCGCTGCACGCCCAGACCGACAGCGTTGAATCACTTGCTATATCAGTTGCTTCAACGAGCCCGCCCACTATCCTGCTCGCTGCCGGCTCCGTAGATGGCTCAATCACCGTCTTCGACGCCACACGTCGCTTTGCCATCAGAAAGAACCTCGTCGGAGCTCATGAAGAGCACTCCGTTGTCAAGCTCGAATTTGTGCCCAACTCATGGCTGCTTACAAGCTGCGGCATGGATGGCGTCGTGCGAAGATGGGACCTGCGCGTCAGTGGAACAACGGGCAATGCTGAAGGAGGAGCTTCTGGCTTGTTGAAGGAGTGGAGAGGCCACAGGGGTGATGGTGAGGGAGGTGGTGTGCTAGGATTTGTCCAGGGACAGACGGGCGAGAGAGTGGTAACTGCTGGTGATGATGGTGTTTCATTGGTTTTCGAGGCATAATTGGAATATATACACACTGGTGGCCGTGGATAGGATATGAATGAAAACATGCGTGCCATTTTACCTGGCCGCTTTGATGAACTGATAACTTTTCCTTTTCGTTCTCTCTTTCTTATAAACAAGTGATCATACTCTTTTATTTTCTTAGTTTAGAATAAATTCTATATATTTTACATATCTACCGTTATGAGGAATTATCATCAATCTTTCACGCGCAGCGACAGAATTTATTTGCATTTGAGTGACTGCTTTTAATGCAATAAGCGATCTTGGTGATCTCATATGTTTACAGAGCACCTAAAGCAGACGCAGTCTTATCGATTGTGTCCGGGGTTACTTTCTTCCCACAGCTGCGCAGGTGGGGTCAGACAAGCTAGGCTAGGATTACATACGCTGAGGACGTCAGGCAGGTGCCTCTTGCGTTACCCACAGCAGCCTTGCCCATTAGTAGTATCAAACCGAACAACCACCATCTTCATTCTAACCAGCCATTCCCAATTACCGACAAAATACGCTAAATCCGAGATACAATAACTCCCTCTTCAATTCCCTTCCCTTTCTGCCGCCGAATCAACACAACACGCCGCCACAATGTCGGAGGCAGCCCTCAAGCCCGAGAAGGACTTCTCCAAGGAAGTTGATCAGCAGCTTCCAGAGGCCGAGACTCTCGCCAAGGTACGGCCTCTCGGCTGGAGAGCTATCTGTATCTGGTGTGAGCTAACATCTCTGTGTAGACCAACCTCCAGGGCGCAATCGAGAAGCTTGCCGCTCTTGAGAAGCAAACCCGTCAAGTAAGCCAGCTTCACCACTGCCAACCCCAGCTTCCAAATAGCTTCCCTGACACACCGACAGGCTTCGGACCTTGCCTCCACATCACGAGTCCTTGTGGCGATTGTTACACTATGCAAAAATGCCGGCGACTGGAGCTTAATGAATGACCAAACTCTGGTCCTGTCGAAGAAGCACAGCCAGCTCAAGCAGGCCATTACCAAGATGGTCCAGACCGTTGTCGGATTCCTCGATGAAACTCCCGACATCAAGACCAAGCTGTCCGTTATCGAAACACTGCGAACGGTTACCGAAGGAAAGATCTTTGTCGAGGTCGAGCGCGCCCGTGTTACCAAGATTCTCTCCGATATCAAGAAGCAGCAGGGCGATATCAAAGCGGCCACAGAGATTCTATGCGAGCTTCAAGTAGAGACCTTTGGCTCTATGGATCGACGAGAGAAGACGGAGTTCATCCTAGCACAGGTTGCACTCTGCATTGAGAATGGCGATTGGACACAGGCGGCCATTCTGGCTCGAAAGATTAGCACAAGATACCTGTCGCGAAAGCCCAAGAAGACGGCTGAGCAGCTGGAAAAGGAGCAGAAGGAACGTGAGAAGAAGAAGGCTCGTGGAGAAGAAGTCCCAGAAGAGAAGGAGGACGACACAACAGACCTGAAGCTGCGCTATTACGAGCAGCAGATTACATTGGCGAAGCACGAGGACAAATACCTGGACGCATGCAAGCACTACCGCCAAGTTCTCGATACAGAGGCTGTCGAAGAGGACCCTGCAAAGCTCCATCCTGTAAGAATACCCTCCCCAAGTTCACTGGGTCCCCTTCACTCAGAAACTGATACTTTCATGATAGGTTCTGCAACGCATCATCTACTTTGTAATCCTCGCTCCCTACGACAACGAACAACACGATCTCCTCCAGCGCATACAACGAGACTCTCGAAACACGCAGGTTTCTCTCGATGCTGAACTTCTTCGGCTTTTCACAGTTCATGAGCTGATGCGGTGGCCGGAAATCGCCAAGAAATTCGGCCCGCACCTGTGCAGCACCGATGTTTTCGACGCCCAGCCTGGACAGTCTGCAGATGAAAAGGCTAACCAGAGATGGGAGGACTTGCGAAAGCGTGTTATTGAGCACAATGTCAGGGTCATTGCCAAATACTACACTCGCATCCAGATGAGCCGCCTTACTGAGCTCCTCGACCTTGCGGAAGATGAGACGGAGAAGTACATTAGCGAATTAGTCACATCCAAGACTGTGTATGCAAAGATTGATCGACCAGCCCGGATTGTCAGCTTTGCCAAGCCAAGAGATGCAGATGATGTCTTGAACGAGTGGAGCCACAACATGAAGAGCTTACTGGGGCTCTTGGAAAGAATCGATCACCTTATCACGAAGGAGGAGATGATGGCACGTATCCAGCCAACGGGATCCAAATAGATGTTATAAAGGGAGGATTAGGTCTGCGCGGTGCATTGAAAGGGCAATATTATACGAAATATTCGCAGACATGGCTTTAATGGGCATTTCGCAGCTTGTAATGATTACAGGTTTAGATAGTCTCGGGGAAAAAAAAATCTGAGGTTATGTAACGCTTATATGATGGCTTGTATCCATGTCCTATGTTTCTATTTCCCATCTTAGCTTGCTCTTTTAAATGAAAATCGCTCAAATATATCTAGGCTCTAGTTTATGTCTATCGCTCAATAATCTAATAACTAGCCCCTTTCCTTTCTCTCTCTCAATTTTTTGGGGCTTTATGATGCCTCCTGGCCACTGGCATGGTTTTTTATGAACCCAGCAAGAGGCATCACCCACTCTTTGGATACCGGGACATGATGGCCGCCAGGATGGACCACAACGAGTGGCTCTTCACATCTATCCACCAGCCCTTGGCTTCGGCTCTCGTCGACAACCGTATCCAGACTGCCGATGTAGTGCAGAGTCGGCGTCTTGATCTTTGGCTCATACAGCCACTGTAGCGAGTCCACCGCAGCATAGAAGCCAGAATACGAAATGGCAAACTTGACAGGCTGGTTGCCGTTGGCCTCTCTCAACTTGCGGGCCCACTCTCCTGCCGGGCCCTCCAAAACAGGCCTCGAAGGCTCCAAAGCAGCGGCGATGAAGCCCGCCATGGCGCCGCCCTGGCTGAAGCCGCACACTGCATCAATACCGCCAGCCTCACGGATAGCCTCAGCGATGACAGCCATGCCCTCGTCGAAGAGGCGGTACGAGTTGGAGCCGTCGTCCTTGCGGAACCAGCCCCAGGTGTCGGGGAGGTCTGCCGGATCGGTGATGGCGTCGCCGCCTTGGGATTCGGCGGAGGAAGAGTTGACGAAGCCTGGGGTGTCTTGGGGGAGGAGGCGGTTTGGGCCGGTGGGGTAGAAGAGGACTGGGAGGAGGGAGATGGGGGCGAGGGTCTTGGCGAGGAGTTTCTCGAGGGCGCGGGTTTTGGCGCGGAAGAGAGGGCCGGATTGTGTGTAGCCTTTTGTTACAGTTAGTTAGATGTTGATAGATGAGATGAGATGGGGGAGGTAAGATGAGATGAGATGAGATGAGATGAGATGAGTCAAGGAGTGCGTGAGAAAGCTCCAAGTTTGGGGGTGTGAAGGTGTGAAAGTGTATGGTTTGGAGAGAAGACCTAGAGAATGCATACCGTGTATCATTAATATCTTGACTTCCTTCTTTCCAGCATTCTTCTGGGCTTGTTTCTCTGGCCGGGGAGTGCCAGTTGGAGTGGCTCCCGTTGGTGTGGCTGACGATGACATTGCGCAAAGACTGGAAGCTGAGAAACGAGGTATATGCGACGATGTACGAGATACAGGCAAGAATCTACACTGTCTATACGTAACAGCACGGAACAAAGGAAATCGCATCTAAAAAAAAGGAGGGTTTTGACTTTGTATCGTGTAAGTGGCAAGTTGAAGGTTGAGTAAGAGATAAGGCTGAGTTGGGATTTGACTTAGTAATCCGTTGATTGGTGAGAAGAAAAAACTAGAATTCCTGTGGCGCTACTGGTTTTGGTGAGTAACCGGCGAGCTTATAGGATCTTTTGATTTGATGCAGGCAGCTTATTTTAACCTTTTAGCGGAATAAATGCTTTCTTTGATATGCTCTAAATTTTGATGCGTTTGAATTGGTGTGCATTGAGAGATGTGCGCATAGGCAGACGTGAGCTTTACTGAGAAACAATTAGACAAAATATTGATCCCGGGTAAACCAAAATTCGATCCATCATAACAAAGCTGGCATAGAAAGAGAGCAACAATCCATTCACCCAGGAAATTTCACCGATTTTTACTAATAGCAATATCAATATCCAATGTCCGTAGCTTTCGTCGCTTGGTTCATCACAAAGGTCTATTAAGCCCTGAATGCGAGTCTATGATACAGCGCAGCGAAGCGTCTCGGCCTGCATGCTCTCCGAGTCGTCCCGAGTATATATATCTCCATCTTCCACTGACTTTTCCTGCCCACAAATCCCATAATTTTGAAATTTTTATGCATATGCGTAACTTAGTGAGCCTTGTTGCCGCCCTGCTTGGCGTAGGGGCTGCGAGGATCGTTCTTCCACTCGTCGGCTGTGCAAATAGCGTCAGTCTTGGTTCTAAAATCTCGCGGCAGGGTATTTCGGGGGAAGTCGTACAGGCCATCATGGCGTTCTGGGCAGAGTTGGCGCCATAGGCGATAACGAGGCCTGGATATCCCATGTTAGTCGAAAGATTCGGTTTCGCCAGCATAAAAGTCCTCGATTGCGGGACGATTCGAGCGCGGTCGGGGCGCATAATCGAGATATTCGCGTTTATCGAAAGCTATCGAGGATATTGCAAATCACATACCAGCGGCGAAGAAAGGCCAGTAAGGCTTCACTGTAGTCTGTTGTTAGTCTCAATGATCTTGCGCATTTTGAGGCGGGAAGCAATTGGTCCCGCCGAATGCTGAGGCCCGGTCGAAACGTACAGAAAGGAGCCGGGAACTTCTTGAAGGGGGCGACACCGAACCAAGACATGATGGCGGTATTTGTGAGGGACGAAGCGTTGAGTTGACGGAGGTGGGCGAGGTAAGCTGGTGAAGTTCTTCAAAACGAGCCTTTTTCCCTTAGTCCAACCAGAATGGCTTCCGAGCGAGTCTGCAGCCGAACAAGGGTTGTCTGCCTAAGGCATTGACTTGCCTGGTACGTACCTGCGCACCTTGCCTTGCCTGACTTTGTCTCCATTTTATCACATGACGTGTCACATGATACTTACTTACATAAGACTCGGTTTACCTTAGTGTGACATCATGCCGCCAGTCCTGCTTTTGGTGCCTGTCGGGCTTGTTCTCCGCACCGAAAAGCGGAGAGCCCAGAGCTGGTACGTACCGCCTCCAGCTCCATTTCCCCAGGTTTCTGAGACTCCTCGCAGCTCCAACACTCGACATTGCTTCAGCGGCATCTACAGGAATTCGGCCAATTGTCTGCATTCTTGCGTGTGACAACCCACGTCTTGCCTTCTCGCCATCTACTCCAGCTTCCTCGCTTATATACGGGCTCAGAGCATCTGTCTGCACGCACTCTGAGCTTCCAGCCAATAACCGCCGTTGCATTAGCCCGGCGCAGCCTTGATCGGGCATTTGATGGTGCGGGGTGAAGCTCCCTCTGCAACGTGCCTTTTTCCCTGGCTGCAACTCTGAGCCAACTCGCGTCTGGGCGGCAAATTAACACAGTATCCAATCGGCCCTTAATCGTGCCCTCCATCATACCTTGTGCCTTCTGCCACTGGTTGCTCTCTGCTCCATCCTTATCGACTATCCCCCTGTCTACTGCACCCTATCATCAACGCAGCAGACCTTACTCTCTTGTGTCTCTGGCGAAAGCTTGCGTCTCGACATCGTGCGCTACAGCTTCACAAGAGATTCGCCCTTGGTTTTTGTCTTTGCTGCCTCTGATTTTTCTTCCCCTCGTACCCCAACACGACACACGTCATTATGCTTGCTCAGAGGTTGTCTCGCCGCGCTGCTGCGGCAGCCCCGCGCGCTGGCGTACGAGCTCTGGCTACGACATCCTCGATGCGTATTCGAACGCCGTCGATGGGTGATATCAACCCTTCCCCAGCCTCGATCGAGCAATTCAACGAGAAGCAGAGAGCGTTCAGAGAGCAGCTGGTGGAGGCACAAAGGGAAAGGGGAGCTCGTGCGTTTGGATCCCAGAACTTGCCTGACTCCGAGACTCCTAACCAAAGCTCATCTCAAACTACTGCAGGAGCTTCAGCCGAGGCTAGCAGCCACGCGCCTGATCGCAAACAAGGACCGCTGACGAATCTAATCTACGGTACTAAAGAAGGCAGAGAAATGGAAGCTCAGATGGAGGCCAGCTTTAGCCAGGTCTTGGCCAGAGGCAAATACGTTCACTCCATCGTCTTCCACGAAGTCAAGCCGGACAAAGTAGACGAATATATCCAGCTCACGGGAGAGTTCTACCCCAAGATGGCCAACACGCCCGAGAACAAGGTTCATCTGGTCGGCAGCTGGAGGACAGAGGTTGGCGACTGTGACACCTTTGGTAAGAAAAGCTTCTACACACGATGCCCTGTTTTGCCACCCTTGGCTAATAATAGCACTCATAGTTCATATTTGGGAGTACCAGCGATACGAGGGTTACCATGAATCTCGACACTCTATCTCTCACCACCCTGAATTTAAGAATTTCAACACGAAGCTCAGCAAACTGATCAATTCTAAGAAAATCTCTCTGATGCAAGAATTCTCCTTCTGGCCTACGACCCCCCCACGTCAGCTAGGAGGCGTTTTCGAGCTTCGATCATACACTCTCCACCCTGGTAACTTGCTAGAGTGGGAGACCCACTGGAGAAGAGGGCTCAAGGCCCGAAGGGAGGTTATGGAAGGCGTTGGTGCTTGGTTTGTCCAGATTGGCGAGCTCAACACAGTCCATCACCTCTGGCAATTCGCCAACTTGGAAGAGCGAAGGGCACGCCGAGAAAAGAGCTGGTCTGTTGAGGGCTGGAGCGACACGGTGCACAAGACAGTGCCTCTGATCCAGTCCATGCAGTCGAGGATCCTGATCCCCATGCCCTGGTCGCCTGTAGCATAAGCCGCGTGTTATTCTGCTTTGGTAGTCATATGTTTTCAGTGCGTTGGATTTCAAGATTGACTTGTTTTGGTGGCGTCAAGGTGACTTCACGTATGTAGGAGTTGGCATTTTGTATGCAACGAGATAGGCATGACAAAGACACCATATATATATGTATATTGTTTTATTATCACTGTTTTGATGTGCTGCTTGCTACTTAATCTATGACCAAATACATCTAATTGGAGACAAAGGGTATTTCAAATGTGTATGCTACCAATCAGACCGATAATATCCCCTTCAAACAATGACAAAACATGTATGTACAAGAAAGTGATCACCATCAATGCTCTATGACAACACTCATACTGGTAGCTATTTCGTATATTCCTTTGGCTGGAAAGCCATGACGGCATCCAAATTCCGCCGCGCCTGGTCTAAGACGATGCTCAAATAACCCAATTTCGAATACAGAGAGATGAGGCTGGGATCTGCACTCTCTACCCGGACCTTTTCCCGTACATAGACCTCCTCCAACTGTGTATCTGCCGTCGGAGGTCTTGAAGCTGCCGGGGGTTCAACTGTGTGATTGGCGGAAATCCGCTTGGTATCGGAATAGGCGTCTCCCCCAGGCTTGTACTTGAAGATAATGTCCATCTCGTCATGCTCAAGGCGCCGGAACGTGCCGATAGCGAGGCCGAGTTTCGTGCCAAAGTGGACGGGTGCGTGGACGGGCTCGAGGGCGCGCATGAGGAGGACGATGCTGCACTCCTGGAGGGTGATGTAGAAGCTGAAGTTTTGCGTCAAAGGTGGTGTAAAGTGCGAGGGCGGGCAGGACTGGGTGGTCCAGTTGGTGTCTGCCTCGTTGAGTGGTGGCCCTTTGAGGAGAGCGATGGAGGCCGTTATAGAGTCGGCGAGGAGGCGCATTCCTGATGAGAGGCCTTGGGCTGCGTTTGTAGAAGAGGTATTGGCTTCGGAGCTAGAATCGGATATGCGATTGTTGGAGAGCAGGAGGCCGAGAAGATCGATTGATTCGGTCAGATGGGTGTGGAGGGTGTCGAGGACGTGGATGTGGATGGGGAACGACTGCGAGAGGGTAAGAGTCTGCGGCGCAATGGTTCGAAATTGAAGACTGAGGGTCTAATGTGTTCCAATGCATTAGCTTTACAAGGTACAAGAAATTAGCAAAGCATGGATCAAAATTACCCCTTTGACGATGCGCGTGCCGACTCGAGTGATGGTGCCCTTGACCCGTTCGTTGCGCGGCGTGCTCATGACCAACGTGCTGCCAGGATCAACCGGCGCCAGGAGCGCATAGCAATCTTCCAAGCCATGCTTGAGCTCTTCACAGACCTTCAACGTCCTCCCGACAATCCATGCCAGCTCGCGTTTCTTGTAAGATATCAGCATTTCGCCTTCTTTTTTCCCGCCTCCCTCTAGGAAAACCCAATCGCAGTCCTCAGTCTGCTCAGCTTCGATGGGCGCCATTGGGGGGAGGGCGACTTAGCAGTAGCTACTTGGGTTTTACCAACCTGGGTTTCAGCGACTTTTATCTTGAGCTCCCCTGGGGAAACGGGAGGCCAGATGTCCAGAGACATGGCTGTTCAGCGGGGGGTTCGGAGCGAGTGGTCGGAGCCTGGGATACAGGCAGCCATTCCCTCTGAGAAGAGGCCAGTTTTTCTCTTCGAGATGTTGAAGCTGAAAGGGAGCAATGATGCTGGCGCCGCTTCCTAGAAAGATGACGTTCCTAGCGGCTGGGTGCGCCATAGGTCACTGTAGTGGGGTCAGCGATAAACAGCGCCCGATAAAGAAAAAGTGGGCTGGGCAAGAACTTAGGAGCAAGAGCCAGGCAGTCGTGCTTTTGATGAAAGTCTTCTTCCCAAACTACTCGAGAATTGGCCAAAACACAGCATTTGTTTTCAATTGTCTCTTATGCTTTTCTGCTGAACTTCTTGTGTTTCGTTGAACTTATTTTTCTTCTTCAATTTAATCCTTGTATTTTTGATCCATGCTCCAGCTGGGCGTTCTGTGCACTCCTTAAAATCAGCCACCACCGCTGGTTCGCCATGACCCAACCAGAAGATCCTCCAGCTAAGCTGGTGCCTGGAACAACAAGGAAGATGCCACCAATTCCACAAGGTAACAAAGGACACATTTACAGATTATTTCAAGATGTAAAGTTTAAAGATTATCTAACAGCTGAATTCTAGGCGCCAAGATTCAGAAGCGTCCGCTTACTCGGCGCCAGCTCCCAGCGTCATCCAAGACGCCAGTCATTTACGTGTCTTCAAAGTCTCCCTTCATGTCTGTTGTGAAGCGGACTAGGAAATTCTTGGACAAGGCCTTACGTAACAATTCTTCTGCTTCTAAGAATTTGTCATTGCACGCTCGCGTCGAGGCATTGAAGCGGGACAGCAGCAGCGAGACTGCTCGCGGAGCGGTGGTGACGGTGATGGGCACCGGCAAAGCTATTGAAAAGACGCTAAGCGTTGCAAGCTGGTTTGAGCAGCAAGGGGACTGCGTTGTCAAAATTAGAACACGGACTATTGGAACCGTGGACGACGTGGTTGCTGAGGACGCAGACGACGCGTTTGGAGACGACAATGAGAGTAGGCTGAGGAAGCTAAACTGCTTGGAGGTTGCCATAAGCCTGAAATGAGTCGTTTGGGAACTCTACGTTTCAAGGAGCATCAAAAGGCAAGACAAGATATTACGGAGAAAGACATGACCAGGATCACTACAAGGCTGCCGCTCATTGGTGATGCGGTTAAGGCAGTAAGCTCGAGCTCTTGCCTTACCATGGCTCAATCTCGCTGACCAAAACAGAGCCGGCAACATAATCATCGGTGAACGCGCATGAGCGAAGATGGGCACGTCTCTTATTAAACCTTGAGAGCGCTGTCATCGATGAAGTAAGTTTCACAAGAGCCAAACCAAACGCCATCGATAGAGGCTCAAATTAGCAAAAAACAGTCGCTCAAGTCTCCCCATGCCTAATCCCCCATACCGTCTCAATAAAAGAAGAGAGAAGAAGAGTTCAGTTCCGATACTCCGATCCAGATGCAACCATTTACCGCCAAAATCCAATGATCAACCCCGAAAATTCCAAAAACTCCTCGCTTGCATCAAAACGCCGATGATCCGTCCTCGCCTAGCCAGTTGTTGTGAATCCGCCATACCGCTTAGAGAAGACAAAAACAAAAACAAAAACTCAAATGGCATTCGCCTGCGCCGCCTTCCCTATGCTCATATCTGTCTTTCAATATCAAATTTCTTTTCTCTCTCTCAAAAATGTCTTCTCATGTCGCCAGCATACGATTATTAGGTCAGGCGATAGGCGCTTTGAAATTGGTTAGCTTCAAGGACTAACAAAAAGCAGAATCATAACTCACTCAATAATTAGCTCTTCACCTCGCCACACACCACTGGCGACCCAGAGCCCGCAGTTGACAAACTCGGCGTAGCGTTTATCTGCGGTCTTGACAGTGGCGAAAGTCCGAAAGCCGTATTGTCGTGGATCGATGTTCTCCTTGGATTCCCGGGCGCTTAGCAGCGTATCCAGGACGTCACATGGGCCCGATAATGAACCTCTCGTACGCATCTCCAGCATAGCCGGAGGCTGGTCGGTGGTTTGCAGTACAAATGCGCCCTCAACAATGCGAATCGGGCGAAAACCTCGTGCCTGGCCAAGATCGTATCCGCCAGCCTAATGATTTGTCAGCTGATGTTATTTTTCTTCCTTACCACGGTCGGATTCGGAACGGAAATGGAACTGTCCAGGGTGCAATCATACCATGACTCGACCATTGCCAAATGATCCGGACCATCTGCCACCCTTGATGGTGGTGATCTCCTTTTGGACACGGTTCTCAATTCGAGAGGGTTCCGGGTTGAGTGCGACAGCGATGCGAAAGTCAAATTCGAGAGTAGGCATGGCGAATGAGATGCTTGGACATGGAAAGTGTTCTAGCGCACGCTTGCACGACTCCTCTACGCTCCTGTAGGAGGACAATAGATTGGATGTTAGCCAGTAGTCGGAGCTCGGCCTCCGCTTCAAGGGCCTCTCGCAATCGTCAGGGTTAAGTTTAAGCTGAGCAACGTACTTGCCCGTCACCGTGGCATCGCCTCCCTGATCCTGCGGTTGTTGAGGCGATTGTGTCTGGTGCTGAGGGCTCGTCGCGGTGTTGCTCGGCCCACCTAGCTGAGAGAAGTGAAAGTTGGGTGTGATGCTTGTATCCCACTCGTCGGTGCCCCATTCTCTCTTGGTTCCTCGGCACTGATGTTCATCTTGAGGCAAGCATGATGACGCAGCGACCTCTGTAGGGGCCGTCGTGGTCGGAAGGGAGAGCGTCTCGGTATCGGTTGCCATTTATTCCAACTTTTGGGGAAACGAAGTAACCCCGTCGACCTCTGCGATTGCGAAAATCCCACAGTCACGATTCCCAAAGCGCGCGCAAGCTGATCGAACAGTGCGTGATTTCAATTTGCGGAGCGAAGTCGTCGTCTCTGATGTGTATATATGTCGATGACGTGAAAGTCAAAAGGCGATGGGATGTCGTCTCTTTTTGATAGAGGGGGTGGACAAAGGCCTGTCGGCAGCGGATAGATGGGTATATGAATCTCACAATCAAGCTCCGCTTTTGGATAATCCAGGTGGGGGGTATATTCGTGAAAGTACACGAGGGTATGTAATCGGTACGCCCCGGAGCAGGCAATAGTAGTACTTATACGGACAGAGGAGGAGCTGCCGTGGCCGCTGAGTGAGCAAGCAGCGTGTGGTTGGGTAATTGGTAATGCTTGGATTGCTTAGAGGGGACTATATCGGGCTGGATGGGAACGGGGCAAAAAGTCGTTAAGGGCTTCCTATTCCCGAATGTCCGCCAAACCCGGCCGAAAGAAGGAGACTCGAGGGCGAAAGAGCGTGCGAGACGGGAGGAGGAGCTGAGCAGCGAAGGGAAGTTAAAGAGGCGAACGGGGAACTTGGGGCTATTAGAAGGGTGTGTATGATTATGGGTGTGTGTGTCTGTGTATGAGCGGGTGCGAGTGTGGTGGTCTAAACCATAGTCTGGAAATGGAATCGGGCAAAGGCAATGGTTAATGAATGACCAAGCAAGGCAAGCAGGAGGGTATTTTATTTCCTAAGCAGCGGCAAAAGGGCGACTCATCCGATGCAGAAAAAACCTGAGCGCGACGCTACCTACGCAACGTAATAAGGCAGGGTACGGCAAGGTGCGATAAGGTAAGGCAGATGGAAGCCGACGGACGAAAATGAGTGCACGGAGTACACGGCTTGTACCAAGACAAGACTAAGCGCACCTTGGGCTGTCTATCTTTTTGATTTCAAATGCGGGTCGCGGATTCGCGCGCTGCCAGCAAATAAGCGAAACTAGGCGCTACTGGGCAGTACCAGGATTCGGCAATAGCAGCATTTCCGCAATGAGGCAACTGGAGAGAAGGGGAAAAGGAAGCTGAGGTAGAAGCTTTGGGAAACGATTAATGTGAGCGATGGTGGCAAACTCGGCTCTGCATGATGGAGAGAGGTTGGAGTTGATTCTGGACTATTGGGCGTTTACATGGCATGATGCCAATGCTGCTACTGCTACTACTAACGCACAGCAGCTGTTTTATTCCGCCGCTCAGCTGAGAAAGACCCGTCAGACTGAGTACCCGCGAAGTACAGTACATGTATGGTACCTGTGCCTGTACGAGCATGCAATTACAGTAGGACATGCAGAAAGAGGAAGAATTAAGAGCTGGCTGTTGTTGTACATGGCTCCGTACTCCGAGTGGATGGGCTGCGGGAGCGGGATAACCAAGAACTGCGAGTGGCTAAAGGCCGAACGAAGAGTAAAGGAAGATCCTTACCAAGGAAAAAAAAAAAAATTGGGTGTACAGCACAAAAGAAAAAGTTTACAGTAGGGAAAAGAAGGAAAAAGAAAGAAAGAAATTTTGCCATGAAAACGATGCTATACAGAAGAGACTGTGCGGACACCGTCATATGCCCGACACCATACAACAATCAAGCAAGAACAATACCAAAGGCGGCTACAACACCGGTACATACCGCAGCCAGTGGCTGGCAAATCAGGCGGAGATGGGTTTTGCTCGTGGCGCGCCACCTCGGGCGCCGAACCGGCGGGTGCGAACCGAGGCTAAACTGCGTTGGAGAGCGAGAGGCAGATGGAGTTTGCCGGTGGCACGGTACGGTATACACGCTAAATTTTATGGAAAATGGCATGTTTGCTTTTGTCGGCTTTGCTGCGCGGCATTGATGGCTTTTATTATGGCTTACCAGGGGGCCAAGGTGTAAGGCAAGGGAAGGAATTTCCATGGACAAATCTCGCTATAGCAGATTAATGAAGGATTGAAGCCATCACTCCGCATCTGAGGTCGGGATTGGGATTGTGTGCATGAAAAAAAAAACAGCTACAAAAGGAGAAATGTCGGCAATGATTCCTTTCACGCATTGTTCTCTTTACAGGTAGTAGTCGACTAGGTAGGTGGTAAGGCCCAGGCAATCGGTGCAGTTGGGTCGGCAGTCGGACCATTCCATGTCAGCGAAAGGAAATAATAAGCTCTAACGGAGTGGCACAGAGAGGGGGAGAGTCGAGATGGACGAGCAGCAGAGCAAGTACCGCGGAGGTACATTTCGTTGCTCGGGGCTTTGGGCAATTCCACCAGTTCTCGTTGGAATTTGGAATAAGAGGGGGCAAAGCTGCGTTTCGGCGCGATTGTCGACCCGGGCTAGTGGACATGCTTTGCGCGGTGTGTGCTGGGAAGAGGCCGTTGGGCAAAGAGAAGGTTGTTTTGGCGGACAGGGTACACAGGGGGTACTTGCTTGGCGGAGCGTCCGTGCTTGACAATGCACTCAATACCGTCCCTTGGTATCTTCTGTTTGGCTGTTGATTTTCTCCGAAGCTGCGCGGGAAATGCTGTTGGGTTCGTTCAAGGGTTCCATCTACCGATCACCACCGTACTTGGCCTTATGCTTCTATGTTGCTTACCATGGGGAAAAGCAGCTGCTCTCTACTATTCACAGACACCAGCCACGATTTTCAAATCCCGGAAAGGTGAAAAAGCAAAGGAATGTGGGTGTCTGCGGAATGGCAGCAGTGACATCTTGATCGGAGAATGGTGCCTTGTCTGGGGTGCTATCTCCGCAAGTGGCTACGGAATCTCTCGACGCTAACTCCCTGAATTATACGATGTTACGGAGCATGCGCTCTTGCTATACGTGCCGAATACCTAATTATGAACAGCAAGGCCTGGTGGACTTTTTTGATCTCCGATCCTCTCTCTTTTTTTTGCGCCTTTCATTCTGCATGAGGAAACGGCACGTCAGTTCTTGATCCCTCCATTACATTTGTCAAGGATTCAAGGTGCAAACATGCACCTCTACCTGCTTCCCCCACAACCCGGCGCTGATGATGCTGGATCGGGTCCGTAAGACAGCAATACCAACTGCCAATACGACGTCGGATAGATTTTATACACGGGTATGAGTTGATATGATGTATAGATTTCGGAGCATGAGAGAAATGATAGACCCGCTCTTCAGTTACAGATGCTTACCGGCAGCCTTATTTACGGAGACTTGTTTCTTCTGGAGCAGCAAATGATGGACCACCAGATGGAAAGCTGCAGCTGTCTGTCTGCTGTAAGCCTTCGGCGGCGAATACCTGCTGCATTGTACACTGTTTACAGCTCATGGTATGTACATGCCCGGTACTTGACTCGATGATGAATAAAGATGAATAAGAGCGTACAAAACACACCACTCCACCAGACGCCATTGAAATCTTATCAGCAAAACCCACCGATGAGGTTACTAAACTGGCATGCGCACGGCCGTTCTGAAAGGACCCATCTCCGCGGTATGCTAACGGTACACCCATTCTTTCAAACACCGATTTTCTTCTTCTTTTGATGTTGTCAAGCCATATAGAATGTATCTCGTTTATTCCTCTTCTTCTTCTTTGTATCATGTTTCATTTTCTTACATTACTCGTTATACTTATTAAATTTTGTCCCTCTTTCCTATTCTCAGCTGACATACACAAAGCATGACTATTGCTGCTCTTTTTACACCCTCCTGGACTTTGGCACCTCTCTAGAGACGGTGTTTTGTTCGGGCCGGACATGTCAGAACGGCCGCTGCGGAATGCGGGAGCAGAAGAGAGGAGGTGCAAATAAATGTCAGCTAGACAAATTATCTAGCAGGCATGGGGTTTAGCTCAGCTCATCATCGACGCCTAATTTAGAAGAGCCGCCGCTGGGTTAGGCTGCGAGCTAGTAATACGGATAGCCTGGGAAGATGTGTGGTTTTTTTTTTATTATAACTACCTAGTAGAACTAGTAGCAGATGTAGGCTTGATTTCTTGTTAAGCTACTGCTAATCTGGTAACTAGATGCGTTGCGGTGTGGGAAAAGAAAGTGTCCGTGGGTGTGGAATCCGGATATCGATGGAGATGAATGGAGAGCTTTCTCAATAGGAAAGCCAGCCTTCCTTCAGAAACTTGCCTTTGATTACCTCAGCTTCCGGCTGGACCGCAGGGAGATTGGGTGTGTATCATCGAGATGGCCAAACGCAGATCGAGTATCGCGCATACAACACCGCTTACCTAGTGCAGTGGTATCAAGTTTGTAGGTATGTTTCTTTTGTTGCTTCCAGTCTTTCACTCTCTTTTTCTTTATTTCATTCTTTGCCTTGGACGAAAGAGCTCTGCAGTTTGCGATTCAAGCATTGTACCAAATAGGCAAATGCCTCCAAAAATGGCTACAGGTAGGTCGTATTCGTATTTCAGAAACGGAAACATCCGACAAACGAACAAGCTCTGTCGTTTGGTAACTAGTAGTATTTCCAAGGCAGCAGTTGGCGATAGCCGCTCTAACAAAGCTCCCTGTCAACTGCCTCTTCAGCTGTCTGCTTCGTCTCTCTTGGTTGCACATGGGGAAATATTAGTTGACGCCTTTATTGCCGCCTTTGGAGAGAGCGCTGCATGGTAAGGTTCTATCCAGCAAAAAGAAGAAAAACCTCGAGTACCCATTTTGGTGCGGATTACAAACGTTTGCTCCGAATCTGGTTTTACGCATCAGAAGTGTATGTTGACGAGGCTGCATGCTTCGTTGACTGTGACGTATGGCAGCGCACTGAACGCCCAGCTAGAGGCGGGAAAAGAATGTTTTACGAGTCAGCAGCAGCAGCAGCAGCAGCAGCGTTTGGGCTCAGATGAAGTGTTGCTGGCACCGTTTGGGGGGGTTTTAAAGGCACGCGATTATTAATTGGAGCGAGGGCAGATTTTGCCGTTTACGGGAATTCCAGGGCGCCGGTAGCATGGAATCTGGGAAACGGAGAGCCAAAGAGATGTCGTTTGTCGTTTAGAGGCGTTGTCAGCATCAGCGGAGACACTCTGTTGACAACTTCAGTGAGTAGCCTGGTCCTCTTTTCTTGTTTAGATGCTCGATGCTCGTGCCCCGTGCAAAGCAGCAGCAGCTACAGTATACCAGATGCTTTTGGCACGGCATAAATGGCAACGCAGTGTAAGAATGCAAAAGCTGGATACTAGACCAACACATTCATTCTTCTGACTAGCTAGTACAGTAGGGAGGCACATCGCAAAGACCAGAGCAAGTGATTAGCGGCTCTTGGTTTTCATGATTTGTCTGGACCTTCGGAACTTTCCATCACCAGTGGTATACGAAATCTCCACTTCGCGGGTCCCCTCCCAGCATGGGCTTGAAACGTGGAAACTCGCCGATGAGCTGACACACGCGCAGAGCAGACGTGTGCTGGGCAAAAATGTCAATGGGTGCCCGTTGAAGACGAGGCATCGGGTTCCATTCCAAGCCCTTTTGTTGTTTCGGTTTTGGAGAATGGGTAGGCAACTCGAATGACTCGAACTTTGGCTTATGAGAATTACTCATTGGTAGATGGACGTATGCCCATATCTATCCATGTACGCTTTTACAAACAGCCTTTGCACCGGAATATTCCCAAGCAGCATAGTACATACTATACTACAATCGAATCACATCATATCCACCACCACCACCACCACCACCACCACCACCACGACGCACCTCCAACAAGCTCCATCGTCTCCAAAATCTAACCCAAAACCGCTCCACGGCACCTCCTCTCCCGCTGCTCTGCCCAGCAATAGCGCATCCAACTCGCAAGCCTCGTGCTCCCTCCAAGGCCATTTCGTCGCCGTCCATTTACCCCTCAACTAGGTACTATTCACAATCCTCCTCTCACTCGCTCTCCCAAAAAAAAAAAAAAAAAAAAAAAAAAAAAACAAGACCCCCAGTCCAAACCATCTCCTTAGTGTGGTCAGATACAGCAGTTAGCAGGAGCTCTCCCAATCGAGCTTCATCCCGAAAACCTTGTCGGAGCTCTCTTTTCTTTTACAGCATCTCCGGAGCTTGGGGTGTGGTTCCACTTGACGTACTAACTACTGCAGCAGCTGTGCGAGTAAGTATGCACATACAATTTATCCACATAATAAAAAGCCATGTTTCTGCAGCTACTATTCAGTTACATCGCCGCCAAGCCGAATTCGCACGGAGCCGAATCCCACCAACAGTGTTGCATTCGTTGGACAGAGAGAGAGAGAGACGATCTAACGGTGTATATTGTGTGACATGTCTGCGAACTTTTTTTTTTTTTTTCCCTGATTGCTCGAAGAGGGCATATCATTACCAAATTCTGTTGATCCTACATACATACATTTGATCCTCGAGAGCAAAGTGCCACCATCTCGAGTTACGTTGCTTAGAAATGCACAATCCAGCCGTTTTACTCAACTGCACACCCAACTCCCTCCATCGACAGCAATTCTCTTCCTCGCCTTTGTAATGGATGCAACTGTCCAATAGAAAACAAAACAAAAACAAATAAATCATCCATAAATGCATTAAAAGAAAAATGACTAAAGCTAGCCTCCGCATATTGAAAAAAGCAACCCGCCCTCTCGGCCGCCCACCATCCGAAACATAATACCACCCTCCCCCTCACGCAACACAACCAACACTAAACAACGAAGCATCTATCTACTGCCCACTAAAGTAATAGCTAACCACAGCAAAGTAGTAGTACAGTAGGTACTGCTCCGTAGTCAACTACAATCAGATACATGCGCGGTACTTTCAGCCTGTCCTTTTTCGTCTCATCCCAAAACCGCCAAAAAAAAAAAAACCTCCACTAGTGTGGAATAAGCATATAATCGGCTCATAGGCCGGCAACGAAATCTCATGACTGTGCATGCCGTTATGCGTGTGATAAAAAACCACAGCAGCTGTGTCATGCGGTGCCTTAGAATAGACTCCATGCCAGCAAAATGATTTACATTCACCTTTCACGTGGCGTCGAGTCCAAGCGTGAGCGAAATGCCTGGTTATCGGCAGTTTTGCTTGGTCCCAATGCGGCGTAGCCAAATCGACGGTATCTGGAATCGGCTGTTAATGGGTCGAGAGGCACGCGACTTTATCGATCGATGATACCGACTGCCATCTGCAGCGCATTGTTTCTCTCTTACAACCTACAGAAGTCACTCTACTCACAGTTACATGTTCTACGAGCCATCTAATTCTGATACGGAGTCATGCCATAAAACATCTCAGTTACATTTCGTGTAATGTCTATGGTCATTGCGTCTATTCACAGGAGAAAACGAGCACCGCCGTGCTCACATGTAAAGAAAAAGAAAAAAATGAACCAAGAAGAAATCCCTAGTGTCAAGAGGGCCAGCTCTGGTCATTGTCGACGCCCATCGCGAGAAAAGTCTCCCATCGAACACGTTTCGACAATAGCCTTTGCAGTCCCCCCAGAATAGAATCGAAAATGCCCTCTGTGCAAATCCAGCACACCTCGGGCATGTCCCATCCCCATAGCGCCCCTTTTACCAGCCCTGGATTCGTCTGTATACTCATCATAACGACGCCATGCACATTTGAGTTAGCCGAGAAGACTAATGAGAAGAAATAGGAGCAGCCAAGGAGCTTTCTCCTAATGCTTGTGTGTGAAGAAAAGAAAAGAAAATTCAAGTCCAGATTGTCAAAATGTCATCGCATAAGATACAATGGAGAAGCGAAGAAATTCGTAAAAATCGTTTCGAAAATCCGAAACCCTAGCCACACATCTCAGCCCTTCCCGGAGCCCGACCGCCATTGTGATGCTACGACCGAGTCCCTAAAAAGTCTGCATGGACAGGAGAAAGAGGCAAGTGCCAGATGGGGGTTGTGCCTAAGCGCCTGTCTTTAAACAGTGACAGGGGGCTGGCCAAGGGGCTTCAGAACGTTGTCGCCGTACTCGCCACCAAAGTTTCCTGTAAAGATCAAAGTTAGCATAATGACATGACAAATCGAACAAAGTGCTTTCAAGGTAACTAACCTGGGGGACCGTAGTTGCAGACGGTGTACCAAGAGGGCAGAGAGAGGACAGAGCCAGCAGGGCACTGGACAGTGGCACATCCAACCTTGGTGGAGCCCTTCCAGACAACCTGGGTGAAGTGGCCCCAAGAATCCAAGTCGGTACCAGAGGGAGGGTTGGCCTGGCCATAGTAAGTCCAGTTCTCCATCTCGTCATTGTACCACTGGTCAGTGACACCACGACGACCAGAGAGGATCTGCTGGCCGCTGATGTCGCCAGAAGAGCCAAAGCTGGCAAGGTTCTGGCCGTAGGAAACAGCACCGCCACCCTCGGTCCTGAAAAATCGTTAGCATCAATCACTTCATATCTGTTTGGATCAATATTCCTTCTATTACTTACATGTCGTGAGCGAAAACGCAGCCAGAGGCAGTGATCTGGGCGAATCCAGCCAGTTGATCATCCCACTCAAGAGCGGGCGCGGAGTGGTTGGCACGGTGAATGTTGTGCTCGTTAAGCATGGCAGACTGGTAGTCGGTGGCACCAGAGCTGGAGCTGGAGCTGGAGCTGGAGGCAGCGGGAGAAGAAGCAGCAGGCTTGGGAGAAGCAGCAACAGGAGACGGTGAGGGCTTGGGCGAAGGCTTGGGGGAGGCCTGGACGGCAACCTCGGGTGAAGCCTTCGGGGCTTGAACCGCAGGAACGATGACGGTTGTGGTCTCAGGCGCAGCCGGTGCCGGTGATGGCGGAGGAGGGGCCGGCTTGGGCGAAGAGACGGGCACATAGACGGGCTTGGGAGCCGGGGCCTGGGGCTGGGGGGTTGGAGCAGCAGCCGGCTGTGAAGAAACGGCCTGGACGAAGACTCCACCGGCCGAAGAGGGCGCGGAAGGGTCGACGGTGACAGTGACGGTGACAATGTCCGTCACCCACTGAGTTTCCAGAGCACGCTTGTCAAGCGGCATGGCGGCGGCCAGGATGGCACCCGTGGCCAAGAGGAAAGCGGACTTCATCTTGAACGTTGGAATATATTTGCTTGAAGCTGTTGTGAGATGCAGAGTTTACTGTTTGTTGAGAAGCGAGTTAGCTCATGGGATCTATTTGAACACGCATTTTAAATGGAAAGCAAGAGGCCATTGAACACCAGGCAGACGACGGAAACATCCAAGAAGTGAGTACAGTTGGGTTGAAAACAGCAGCGATTCACAACGGGGATGGATTGTGCGTCATTATGTAACAATGCCAGGGGCTGGAGATGTCTTCTGGAACGCGGCTTGAAAACAATGAGGAATGCAGACTGCAACATGGCTGTTGGAAGCGGAACAAAGACCCACAGGTTGGCACAGGAGCTTAAACAATGAGGAATGGGCCAAGAAGATGCTGGGGTAACTTGTGAGGGGACACTAGCCCGATGTGTCGTGCAAGGAGTAAGAGAACGATCATGAGGATGCGCGAAGTGTATATATAATGAATGGGCTGAAATGGCAACCATGACTCGATATGTAGATATATAGATGGACAAGGTGCAAGTGAAGCTGTCGATCATTGCCTTACCTTGAGGGGTTTGACGGTGATCCAAATGTGAATCCAGACACCAGAGACGAAGAAGATGTGATGTATGTCGGCTTGCGTCAGAACCAGTCTGGGGGAGCAGCGCTGCTTTCAAGAGTTGGAATCGCGTGGGCGTTGGGCGGACAAGCCGGCTCTTTTGTTCGTGAAGCTGGATCGACGAAGGAAGAAAAGAGAGCGTTGTGTGTTCAGTCGGCGGCTGCGTGCACTCGACTTTGTGGATAGCGACACTTGAAAGAGAACCGGATACCAGGCCGATAAATAACGAAGTGAATCAATTGGGTCTCAGAAAAAAGGAGTGGAATGTGCCGTCAAGGACACGATAAGGAGCGTTGAGAAGAACGAAAAGAGGGCTCTCTAGGAGTGAAGGGCAAGGAGAAGCGAGAAGAGGACCGGAGAGAAGGAGTGGCGACGTTAAAAAGGATCGCGCTCGAATTGACCAGGAGCGGCGACGGGGGAGGCGGCGTGTAGAGAATAGAGGAAGAGGAGAATGGAAGTGGGAAGTGGAGGAGGCTAGGGAGACGAAGCTGGGATGCTAAAGTTTGCAGTGTTTCGAGATGATGCGCGACCCCGCTACGGGCCCTTGCTGATGCCCCGGCGGTTTTTTCCCACAGGGCTGTCTGGAGGATGCTGTTAGTGGTGCGAGGTGCCTTGCAGGAGGGCCGCGATGCCTGTAGCAGCGCTCAGTAGAAGGAGCACGGCTACTGATGAGTCCCAGGGTATCCGTGTATAGTAATTGTGCAATGTCTTGCTAGTGCCGATTTATTAATAAAATATATATATATATATATATATATTGGTCTTGTTTTATTTCTATAAATACTACAGCAGGACAGAACAGTACAGGACAGAGAGCGTTTGGAACCGTGAACAGACATGAACAAGGCAGAAACACGCGCCTGTTCCTGAATTTCCATGTTCCTGACGCTACGAAACAAGCCAAGTTGCTTAGCTCTGCACTTTAAAGCCAGCCTAGCCGGAACAGGCGTCGGAGAAACAAATCACCAACAGCTAAGGGGGGGTGGGGTTAGCAGGGGCCAGCTGAGCTCCAGTTGGGCGCCTGCGTTGCCTGCAGCTCTGTTCATTTTCTACGGCCATGATACTGTACATGCAGCTTGATGATGAATACAGCCATCACCAAAGTACAGTAATACTACGTACCTTCTTTTACTAAGCATTCAATTTCAATGCAGTATCACCTATAGAGTACATAGGTACCTACGATTCCGAGCTTTGTACGGTATGAACCATTACAACGCACGATGAGATCTTCGACGAGGTACCTTGTTCTCTCATTACCAAGGTTTCTATTAGGAAACAAAAATCAAGAAAAAAATTACCGCAAGGACCCAAGAAAGAAGCATTCTAGACCACGGCTCGAGATTAAACGTAGTGCGCCCAGACGCCAGATATCAATTACCGCTGTGGCAGACCCCGGCAGTCCAGGATGAGAGATTCGCCAGCCACCAACGAGCCGGTGATTGACATCATCACTTTCCTTTTTGCTGCCTTTTTGTCATGGTCCCTTTTTTTTTCTCTCTTTTTTTGCTGTTCTCTTGGCGGTAAACAGCCCGGGGTGAGATTTTCGTATGCAATCGCAGATGCTCGGCTCTCCAAGATCGGATGGCACAGCCGCATTGGCGAGGAATAGAGAAGGGAAGAGACGCCTCGATCAGGAGGTCTCGTGAACGCCTCAGCTCTGTCACCACCATTCTTTGTCGTCCAAGATTCCAGACTGTGATTGTGGGCCTGAAACCTTGAAGATGCTGCTCTAAGGCTTTTCGCACGCTCGACGCTGGGACTCTTACTGTATGAGACTCTGGAGAGGGCGGGCACACGATGGATGATGCGATATTGCCTCTGTACTATATTCATCACATCACACGTACCACCTGGCCCTTTCTCTCTTTAGGACCCCCTTGATTTCCTGAACCAACGTTCTAATAGTGGTAGCGACTTTTCGTCGATATTTCGTTTTTTTTTTTTCTCTTGTTCATTTTTATGCAGTCGTTCGCCGTGTCTCTCCATTCTCTCTATCCCCCCTTTTGTCGAAAAATTTATCATCACTGTGTTGCATTTTCTTCTTTTATTTCCCATTCCCTTCTGAGTTAATCTACTCATATACATCAATACATCAATACTTGGACTAATATCTTTGTGCAGAATATTCTCAACGTTCAATTTCTGACTGTCCAACCCAAATGCTGACTTTACTATCCACACACCCGCTCGATCTCCTCTCCATCGAATTCCTCATTCCCGCCTCTCACAGCGCTGTGCCTTGCAGCAGCAGCAACTTCCGCGGCACGCCTGGGCCTGTTGATTGTGCCACTACAGCCAACCAGCGCCGGCGTCTCCATCAAACAAGCTACAGGCGGCGCTGCGGGACTTTTATCCCTGAAACGGCACTAGACGCTCCTGTCCCACCCCCTACTTCATCTCCAGCGCTCTGCTGTCAGCCTATTGGGAGCCCATTCTGCCGGCGGTTCGATGCTTGCTTGCCCGACTCGGCGATGCTAATGAGATTCATACATGCAGGAGGGGGGGCACGAATATGTGATGAATGTCACTCATTTCCAGCCTGGGCTCTCCTTGTAATACTGCCAGGAAATTGCATCTCGTCGTTGATGCTGTCCCCCCCTTGGACACATTGCCGGTGCACCACAACCCGGCCCGCGTGTTCCGCGAAGAAAGGCGGGAGAAGAGTAATACGGAGCAGAGTAGCATCCAGACGTCTTAAGCTCCTCCAAGAAACAATAGTGCAAGCCTTAAAACCGCGTAGATCGCCACATCTCTCCAGCCAGATGCGGGGTGTGCGCCAAAAAGGCAAGCTACAGCGTTTGGCGTGTCGCCTTATTCTATAGCTTTTGAACTTTTTTTTTCTCTCTCCTGCTCCCTCTCTCCCTCTCTGTGAGATCCATTTCTCACTGTACTTCAACCATAGGACTTACTCCTGTTACGACTACTGCCATCTGTAGTGGCACTTTGGCGGTCCGCTTCGTGGTCCGCGCTGGCGAAAAAAATCCTGTGCTCCGCACTTGGTGCGTCTCATCAAGCGCACGATTCGGACGCACAGGCGGCCGGCCGAGGCCCCCAGGCCCGAATACATCGCACCCTTTTGCTGGCTGTTTGTGCGCGTCAAACGAAGAAACATCCTGGCTGGCTTGTAGTGTTGTCCATGTATATTGCAAGCGGTGCTAAATACCTATAGTAGTACTATAGTAAGTATTAGCGGGGAAACATGCCATATGCCACAGGGTGAGACAACATCTCCATCTATTGTTCCCCAATATCCAATTGTCAATGTCCCATTCCGGCCGAGTATCCGTATCAAGTGGTGCTTCCACGCAAGCTTCCATGTCCATCTTCTCCTCTTTATTATTCCCTCATCATCTCGGCACGCCGGCCCATCTCTGGTTGAAAGTCCCACAGCCTTTGATCGCACGTATCCGCTCGATGCTAGCCGTACTGCCTAATCACATCCCCTAGCTGCATCAGATATACCGCCGGTCCCTGGATTCCCCATCTCCCAACAACCAGCTTAGGCCAGAGCCGTGCCACTGGTAATTGTTCTCGGTCGGCGTCCGGAACGACTCGACGCCTCGACCCATATTCGCGTGCCCAAGCTTAATCAGAGCCCGTTTAAGGGGGGGCGATTCCTGCATGTCTTACATGCAGCGGTGCTACGTGCGTTTTGCACTTCGTATCTTGATGCAACCCGCTATTGAGTCTCGGCAGAGCTGTCCATCTGCTGGCATAATTCCCAGATGCCGCACAGCAGCCTATCTCTTGGCCCAGTTGGATTACAGTAGTAGATCTGACACCTTCGTGGACATGTCTGTTTGAGCACTTATAGCTCCTGGACGCTGCTCGGCTGGTGCCCTTGGAGCCGGCGTGAACTCCACAGCGCCGTATTCATCCCCCCCTGATTGCTACTGGTCTACATGTACCTATGTGT